ATTAAATAACTTCTTCATTCCTTGTTTTTTCTGGTATTCAATTATTTTATTTTGAGTTTCTATAACTCTTTCTAAATCTTCAACATTGAACTCATCCCACCAACACGGTTCTTTATCATTATCTACTTTCAAACCTTCTTTAATGTATTTTTTGACAGGCAACCAAATACTATCCAAATTTACAGATGGGGACCAGATAAAAACTCTTTCAAATGCTCCTCTATAAATATCAAGTATCATTGATACAAGTAGGGTGATTTTCCAGAACCAGACGGGCCTACAATCATAGCTCTCATCGGCAATTTAGGGACAACCTCGTGCTTACTTTGTTTAAAGTCATATTTGATTTCATCAATTGGTTTTACATCAGGCATAATAAAAATAATATTATAAATACATATAAAATAAAAAATATAATATAATTATATCATAATGGCTATAGAATCTATTAATTTAAGTGAAGTGGCTAGTATTCGGAGGATATATAAATTTGGTGATATCTTAGTGCCCGACACTGAACAAATATATTATGATACAATGTTATACTTTTTATCGATGATTAAAAAACAAAATATCGTAGTATCCAAGTCCGCAATTGAAAATGACAATAACCTAGATTTTAATTTTAGAAAGTTAGTAAATTTTATGAAAGATTATCCCGATATGTATACAAATGAAATGATAAATAGTGTACAAGAAGTTATTGATAATAATATTCTAGATGTTAGTATACCAACTGCAGTAAAACTTACTAAAGAAAATAGTTTAAATAAATATTCTATTTAATATTAATGGAACATCATTATGTTATGAGTGGCGGTGAATAACATAATGGAACAGGTTTCCATTGCTACAATCAATAAGCATTGAAGCTAATTAGTTTGTATCTCTCTCGCGTGCAATGAAAACCCAAGTGCTGAGCCCTCGAATATTCTATTATGCATGAAAATAATAAGATTAAATAACTATTTTATCTTAATATTTAATATGAAAAGGAGTTATACAGATTATATTAATATAATAGATGAAATGGAGAATATAGAACAAGTACTAATAACTGATAATAGATTCAAAAAAATATGTTATTTTGTTTTAGAATTAATTAAGTTTGTTATACAATATATCAAAAATAAAAATGTGAATATTAATATAAATGGGAAAAAAGAAAAAGAACAAGACTGAACCAGTTGTTTCTTCGACTGATGAAGAAATTGTTAAAGAAACATCGGTTATTGAGTTTGCTTGCCCAATGTGTAAAAAGATGTTAGAATTAAAAAATGAATTAGAAATACAAAAGAAAGGAACTTGTAAATGTTCGTTTATTCCAACCAGTTTCAAAATAAGTAAGAATGATAAGAAAATGAATATTGATAAAACTAAAGACAGTATCAACTTAGAAACAGATGTTCATAATATTGCTATACACTTTGGGAGGGGGGTTATTCCATCCGAGAATGGCGATAGGGAAACACAGGAAACTATACGCGAAATGATGAAAAAATAATAGTTAAAATTATTTCTATTATTATTTATAATGCAAGATGTTATAAATAATATTATTAAATTCATTGATGTAAAAGACTTGAAATTAAATAATTTTATTGAAGAATATAACGAAAATGATATATTAATTAATTTTGTTAATGACTTTAGAAATAGCAAAATTGATTTTAACATGTTTTATAATTCTATTAATTATGCTGATTTATTTGAACAATCAGATTTAAAATTCTATTGTAAAAGAATATATTCATATACTTTAAGATTTATTGCTAATTATGATAATAAAAATGCTATTCAGTTTTATGAAATTACATTGAGAAAAATGAATAATATTTACAAAAATAGTAACATTAATGTTGTTAATGTGTTTGAATGTATTAAATGTTTAATAATTTATATTACAAATAATATTGAAAAGTTTCATAAATATTCAAAATTTAGAAAAACTATTATTTGTAATTTAATTGGTAAATTGAATAATAATTTAACGAGTTACACAATAACTAATTTTGAATTGACTTATAATGATATATGATTTTGTAAAATAAAAGTTTAGTTTTAAAAGTTTTATTTTATAATATAATATATATATTTACATGAATGAAGGATTAGAAAAGATTGTCAAAAAACTGAACAAGGTTTTAGAACAGAATAAGAATATTTTAGAAATCTTGCAAGAAATGGAAAAGAAGAAACATTTAACACACAGTTATCAAAGTAAATCAGTAGATAGAACCAATGCTGAATATAAAAATAAGAAACAAGTGTATTTAAACAAACTTAATAACAAAGAAATTAAAGAACCGAAGGCTTCAACTATGACATTTTATCAAATTGACTATGATGAAGATACGGGGGTTTATTCATAAAGTTACATTTACTCATTGAAAACTAAACATAGTTTAGTTTTTAACGAGGAAACAGGGATTTTTATTCATAGATAATATTATCTAAATATCTTTAATAATGAACTTATTAGAGATGTTTAGCGGACAGGCAGTGTTGGACTTGTTGCAAAAGCAAAGGGTTTCAATGGTATTTCATTATTGTAAATTAAGGGCTTAGACGATGGACATCATGGGATTGGGTGATGGGAAACGATGGGAATTGGGTGATGGGAATCGTGGGCTTGGACGATGGGAATCGTGGGCTTGGACGATGGGAATCGTGGGATTGGCCGATGGGAATCGTGGGATTGGACGATGGGAATCGTGGGATTGGATGATGGTGATAGCAATTAGAACAATGGGATGGTTTGAAAAATCAATAGGAAATAATATTTTTACAATGATAAGACGGATGATAAAATAATGAAAATAATTAAGAAGCATTATATAGCTGAGTTAATAAGTTGAACTCATAATATAATTATAACATGTAAAATCTTATATGTTATAATTATATTGAACTTATGGTTTGTTTCTTAATTTTACTTAATGCCTTAAAAATGACTTAAAGAAATAGTGCCTTAATATAATAAGAGGAAAATGAACGGTGATAAAATCAATAATTATATCAATAAAAAATGCTATGATTGTTGTCACTTCAAAAAAGAAAATATGGAATTGTATAAATTAAATTTACCTAATGAAACAGTGAATAATATTACTAATTATTCAATGGATGAAAAAGACGAATGTGAAACTTGTCAGGAATGGAGAGATAATCAATTTTTAATCAAATGTTTGTTGAGAATAAAAGGAAGACATAATAGAAATGTAGAAGATGAGATTTTAATATTTCTAACTGTAAATAAAATACCACCTTATGATTATGTTAAACAGTTTCTTAAAATCAGTAAGAAAAATATGACATGATTTATGATATATTATGGATGTTGGGATATAGTCAAGAGAAAGGAGAAGATGTTAAAGAAAATATCAAATTATTTATTGAAAGTAAAAAGTTTAATATTCAAAATACATTGAGAGATATTAATATTATTTTTAAAATGATGTATGAAAGAAGAAAGATTTGTCAATTAAATTATTATCCTGTACTGAAATTATAATCATACTATAATAATAACATGTAAAATCTTATATGTTATAATTATACTGTACTTATAGTTTGTAAAGATTGAAATATTTCATTTTCCTTGATTTGGCTGACTCTTTCAAAGTGCGTTGTTTGAACTTGGTATGCTCTTTTGATTTTTTCGCGCTTTGGCTGTTTGTATTTTATTTTGTTTGATACTCTTCTGATATTTTTTGTTGGTATGTTGCTTTGTTTTTTTTGATGTGTGTTTTTGAGTTTGTGTTCTTTGATGGTTTTTATTTTTGCTGTTTTGTTGGTATGCTTGTTTGAATTATTTAATGTTTTATGCTTTGATTAAATATTTTGTTGGGGGTTGTTCTGGTTTTTGAGTTGCTTGGTGGTTCTTATCTTGTTTTCTGTGAATTTTGCTGATTTTGTTGTATGCTGTTTGATTTTTTGGTTTTGATGTTAGAAGTGCCATTTTATGTATTTTTGGGGGGGGGGGGGGGGGGGGGGGGGGGGGGGGGGGGGGGGGGGGGGGGGGGGGGGGGGGGGGGGGGGGGGGGGGGGGGGGGGGGGGGGGGGGGGGGGGGGGGGGGGGGGGGGGGGGGGGGGGGGGGGGGGGGGGGGGGGGGGGGGGGGGGGGGGGGGGGGGGGGGGGGGGGGTTGGGTGGTTGGGGTGTGGTTCGGAGTTGGTTTAGGCTTGGTGGGTTGGTTAGGGTTGGTTCAGGGTTGGTTCAGGGTTGGTTCAGGGTTGGTTTGCGGTGGGTTTCGGGTGGGTTTGGGGTTTGGGTTGATTTAGGCTTAGGGTTGGGGTTAAGGAGGGGTTGCAGGGTGGTTTGGTTTAGGGTAGGATGTTGCGAGAGGTGCGGGGGTGTTGGTTCACGGGGTGAAAGGGGGTCTGGGACCGAAGCTGCAGGGCTCGCACGGTACTGGACAGCATCCCCAGCATTGCCAGCATCATCCCCAAGATGCGGATTCTTGCGGATGATGCGGGGGAGTGGGGGGACCATACCATTGGGGGGGGGGGGGTACGTGGCCCAGGGACTGGTACATATATATATATAGACATGTGTATATATATATATACACACTTGTACATGTATATGTGTACAGATATATATATATATATATATATGTATATAGTTTGTGTGTATCTGTGCATAAATATGTATATATATATACTATGTTTATGCTCGTTGTAAGCGCTGGCAAACTGCCCTGAGCCAGTTTCCTTTGAACAAAGTTGATAAGATCCCACCCGCCTCATCGCTTTCTGGGTTCTCCCGGGCAAGATCATTGCAATCTGGGTGTGTTGTTCCCCCCCCCCCCCAATACAAATGGTGGCTATCCTTCTGGCTTTCCTTTAAACCCACAAAAATAAGTACTCGAAAATGACAGGCTATTCTTTCGGTTTTCCTTTGAAACAACTAAAGTAAGTACCCTAACAACGACACACCGATTCAGAGAGCCGCTCACATTGTTGGCTCCCAGCAATCAAGTACCCACTGCCGAGATGCCCTTCTGCCAGCATCGCAGGACCAAGACGTCGAATCATCTCCTATCGGGCGATTGAGCTGCGCAGGTACTGGATCGATTGCCAACGGCTGTGAACAGTCCAAAAGAATCATGTGGACCCTGGCACTACTCAGCGGCACAAAGGCCCCAGACATAAAAGGTGATCACCGTTTGGGGCCGTGACAAAAAGGTGAAAAGGTCGATCCGCCTTGGGCAAGTGAAATTAAAAAACAGCCGCTGGACAGTGCGACAGCTTCACAGTTGGGTTTTGAAAGCGTCAGCGTAGCCGAGAATCAAGACCCTACAACTCTGATTTGACAAACTGGAGACTCCCTTTGAAGAAAAGCGGCACATAAAACGGAACCACAGGTTCGGGAGACAGGGACGTCTTGTGCGAAAGGCATGAGCCAGTGCTGTTTGGGCCATCGAATTGCAATTCGTTTGACTGATAAATAAGCCTAGGTCCTCCATCAGAGAGGTTAGGACAAGGGTACCCTTTTTTTCTGTGGTCTATCTTAGTAAGGGAACCCTCCCCCGAAAAAGGTAGAGAAGGGCACTACTGGGGACCTAGAAGCTCAAACTTTGCGCCCCCAAACAACTGATGACGAACCCCAAGCCGACCATCCGAGAAAGCTTCTTACTTCTTTGGGCCACCTCATGCAGAACCTCGCCCAAGGAAATGCCAGCGTTTCAGGGGGAGGCGCATCGGGTCAGGAGCCGTTAGGCTCTCTCAATGGCTGTTGCCAGGTGAGAAAGCGAGAGCCATGGTGACCATGTCCTTGCATGGATTCTATTTTTAAGGCCCCCCGCCCCGACCCAAAACAAATCGGATGGTTTTCCTTCTGGTACCCTCAACAAGAAGAAGAGCCCACATCTTTAGGGCAAACTTGGATACCCGCAACTGCGCAGCTCTCTTCCAACCAGCCCAAATCCAAACAACATTCACAAAGGCCAACCATCGACCATGTTGGCGAAAATGAGCCGAAATTAATTACAAACCTCCAACCCATCCGATCTCCGTAAGGCCTTAGCCACTCCCGAAAACCTTTCGGGGAAATGTTTTAGCTCATCAACCCGCTTGCCCCTTAGTGCCCCAGCAATGAAAGGGGATCACCTTTTTGGGGCCGTGGCTGGTTGCAATGGGAAAAACAAATGCAGTCGTATCCGGTCAGCGGACAACTGAGGGGTCAACCCAGCTCCAGGTTTTGCGATCCGGGTTGCCTTTTGGCTGGTTGGGGAAAATAAAGGAACCCTGCAGTGTAGAATCCCTCTAGGGGATCCCTTTTTGTGTCCACCACTAGAATTGTCTTCCAAAAACTTTGAAGTCCAGGAACAGGTCCCTCAATCCTCTTCACGCCCTAGTGCAAAACTCTACACACGAGTGAATTATCCCAATGAAGTTTTGGGCCACGGAGTTTTCATTGTGCTTCCCAAACCCGTAGCGAAACGATTACTCGGACATGGTTTGCATCCGAACCCAACTTTCCCTCTCATTTGTCTGTCACAATGTTACTGAACTCGCTGGGGCATATTGACTCGCCGGTATCGAATGGTGTGAGGAATTCTTTGGAAAGGCTGAAGGGGACCACAATACCCAAGAAGCAAGGGAGTTCTGAAAGATTTCCGTGGAGGGGACAGAGTAATTTTTGGTGGTTTGAAGGGAATACCAAAATATCTTCGCTGTGTCAAGCGGATGAAAACAGCGCGCTTCTTTCAGGCTGCAAGCCACGATCTCTATCACAGCGGTAGAATCGTCCAATTCAACTTTGTCCCCTTCATGGTGGGGACATGCCCGAAGGGCAGGAATTTGTGGAGTGTGATGTACAAAACTCATGCACCGTACCCCATGCAAAGGTGGGTTTGTTCAACTGTCATCTTTCTGGCAAACCATAACTCACAAGCTGCAAACCGGTTCCTATTCAAGGATCCGAGCGAGCTCTCCCCCCAAGGATCCGAGCTCGAAACCCAAAGTCAGCTTCCCTCGTTCTTTGCTGCTTCCCCCGGTGTTTTGAGCTGCTCCACGGTGGCTTGTGCAACTCTTCGAGTTTCATCACGTTCCCGAGCAAACATATCGGACACCCTCCCAACAAACATGGAACCCGAAAGGAACCAGATCTTCCAGGACCAGGTTCCATGTTTTAGAATGTGGGAGGATCATTGAATCGATTGCATGTCCCCATTTTTATGTCTTTTTGTTGCTAACACTGCAAACATTGACACTACTACATGGTTCGTTTACCTCAACCAAAATACATGACGAATTTCTAGTACGTCTAATTTGTGTTTTGTATACACCATCTTTAGCTTATTTTTTCCAGTGCAAGTTTAGTATCCTTCTGATTGCATGGTAGGCATCATTCGCCTTCACCGAAAAAAAAAAAAAAAACACGCATTTTTAGACATCACACACCCATTTGCTTCGGACAAATACAGACAAGTTCAACAAGATCAGATTTTATCAACAAGTTCAACAAGTTCAACAAGATACAGACAATACAGACAGATTTTACTGCTACCAGCCACCGAGAAACAAGTCTAACCAGTTCAAGGCATCGATGCGTGAACTTTAACGACCAGCTCCAGGGCTTCGAACTCCAAAGTCCCCCGATCCAAGCCACCGGGCATCCTTTAAGGGTTTTTTCAAAGGCGAAGCGCCAAGCCAAAGCATGGGCTGTGTGTATCTTATCGAATCCTCCGGAAAATTCGCCGCTGAATGTTGGCTTGAAGGGAAACCACGGCCCAAAGTAGAGATTTTGAGATCACCTCACAAGGTAAGCTTTGGTTTTCGTCTTATTTTTTCGGGACTCGGAAATTGGGAGACTCGAGTCAAATGATCCCAAGCGGTCGGTTTCTTTCGGCTCCTCCTGGGAGCACAACGGAGCCCCGTTGTCCGTGTTAAAAAGGATTTGAGTAGAGTCCTGCGGCGGCGTTCTGTTGGAAACCATCCAGGGAGCGAGACTCTATGGGAAATCTTTGCTCGAACCTTTCTGTGCTCGACTTAAATGGGAAAGAGGCCAACCAACAACAAGAATCAAAGCTTTGCCAACTCAACAGGCAAGTTCGTGGTTGGTATTTGGCTTGAAAACCCAGTAGAAATTGCGGGTTCCTATGAGACGTGAATTCGTGTGACCAATTCCTTGGGTTCTAAGACATGGGGGTGTCCATGCTTTTTGAGGCTCGGTCTATAGACAAAAGGGCGGAGTCAAGGGGAATCGCCATTTTTGAGCCAAATGGGTGTAAACATCAGATGGGAACATGATCCTTTGCCGGGGTCCCGTGAATTGCGGAAGCAAGATGAAGCCCGCCAACTGTTTGTAGAGAATAGCTCCAGCAAAAGAAACACGGAGCTGGCTGACTCGACTCCACCCCCGCTGGTCTTAAAGGGAATCGAACATAGAGAAATCCTATAAGGGGACGTAGTCGCAAACGGAGGTATCCTATAAGTGCAATGGGCATGTCCACATGTGCTACTTGGACATGCGTTCCAAGTAGAAGCATCCCGCTTTGCATGAAACAACATCTGCGATCAGAATGCATCCCCAGCGTCTTAACATGGTCTTGGAAACAGTGTCTAAAGTCCTCAACGGAACTTGGGAAGCGAATACTCGTTTCAGCAAGTAGAAGGAATTCATACCCTCCTGACCAATTAACATGGAACCTGACGTTTGGGGGTCCCTTCAAAAGGAAAATGGTCCAAACCAGGACCCCCATGTCGGTGGAAGGGCTCAGAACCCGCGGTCCTCGTTGAAGCTGTTGCCATCTTTGGGCCTCCTCTCAATGCAGGCCTGCTTGTTGCTGCACATCCTGCGTGCTCCGGGCGGCGCTCGTTTCTGGGTGGGGAGAAACAGGCGGTGTTACCTTTTACGACTTTTGGAGGATCGCTTTTTGGGTGCTGACCATTTTCTCACTTTCCCAAAGAACCTGGGAATGAAAACGTGATATCACCGTTGGGGACCTCTAAATGGGAACCAGGAAAACAGATCCGGGAGCCATTCGCTTTGGCCCAAGCTCTTTTGGCGGGTCCCGATCAAAGAGAACGGACATGGTGCCTGGGGATTGGCACGCACCTCACTCCACTTCGCAAACGATCAGCTTCAATTGGTCGCTTGGAGTTCGGTGATTTGGCCGTGTCGGAGAAATTTCCCAAACAAATTGTGGCGTTCCTTGAGTTTCCCACTTTTACCACCTACCAAGAAGGGGTACCTTCTCAAAAGACGAGCCATCCACTTGGAGCCGTTCCGGTTGCTCTTTAGCCGGAGGGGTTGAACAAAACAAATTCAAGCCACAGTCTAAAGAAACCCACAGGACATTCTACAGGAAATCCCTGATTTTGGTGGGTTGTCTAACTTCCCGTGGAATTTCCTGTAGGTTTCTATGACACAGGGCAACCTGACCTTAGCCTTCTATTTGCTTAAACCTCCTGGAAAACATAAAACTATGTCCAGTGACAGACGGCTTTTAAGACCAATTTATATATTATTATTATTTATTATTATTATTATTTATTATTATTATTATTATTTATTATTATTATTTATTATTATTTATTATTAAAAAACAAACACACACACACACACACATCTTCGTAAGTGCTTACGGAGGGTAACTGGGGTTCTCCCACGCTCAACCATCTCCCGAACCTTCGGAAGCCGCCTCAGCAACAGCAGCTCGGAGTCGGCGCTCCAGTGCCCCTGTGGACCAAAAGTCGCCAGCCAAACGGAAAGGCAAGGAACTTGTGGAACTCATCTCGCTCATCTCTTGGTACGGGCTTGCGAAACACTTTTTGTGTTTTTTGCAGAACCAAGCAACTAAAAAACCAAAAAAAAACATGCCAAGGACAGTGAAGAGCTGGTTCTGCTTTTGGCAGCCCCCAAACCAACAATGAAAACAGAATCACAGCCAAATACTGACTGGTTTTGCAGCCAAAACCAAACATGAGAAGAACCTAAAAGTTGGGGGGGAAACAAACACGAAACAACTTGATCCAACAGTGAAGCTACGGATTTCTGACTGGACCCCATGGGAATAAGCCCTAGTGGCATCCCCTGCCCCACCCGGATCAAGCTTATCTGGTCAGAGACCCCATAGCTTCCAGCATCTTCCAGCTGTTGGGGGAAAACCCAACCAATGAAGTTAGCACGCAAATCAGAACATTACCTGGAAATCGGGTGGGACATGATTGGGGTGTGCTAACTGATTGTTGCTCGCTAGGCGCATGGGCCCAAGATAAGCCTCTGAGCACATTTCCGGGTAGAGACCTTGCCTTCAGTCAGCTAGTCTTGTCAACATCTCTGGTGAGGGCACCCTTGGGCAGGGCACCCTTGTTGCATTTGGTTTGTCATAAAGGGGGCCAAAGAGAGACACCTCCCGTTTCAGGGGGGATCATGCGGCTCAAGCTCGACATTCACTGCCTGGATAGTGATCGCATCGATGCGCACAGTGACGAAGTTGCCCGCTTGATCGGGCACAGCCTCAAAGCGCTGCTCAAAAGAAGGAGCTTGTTTTCAGGGCTCCGTTTTTCCTTCTTCTTCTAGGTTGGGCTAGACTTAAACCCAGGGGAATCAATCACCCCTGGGTGCCGTGGAGTAGTTAAAAAGTCGGAAGCCGCTTGTTTTTGGATGGCTTAGAGGGGAACCACACTGAAGTCAACCGTTCGGGGTCCCTTGTTCTGAACAGCACCGACTTGTTTTTCACACTTGCCCCCCCCCCAAAACACACCCCCTCTGCCAAAAACAGATCATCATTGGAGGTTTGGTTCTCTGATTGTTGGATAGTTTGGAAGGGAAACAAGGAAGGAAGCCTTCCCTGGAGTGGCCTCCACATTTGATTCTCACCCAATTCTTCGAGGGTCGTTGGTTTGCTGGATTTGACCAGACAACCTCAATGACTTCGCCTAAACCACAGGTTTGCTTCTGACTTTCGCCTTCTTGCTCGCTCGCCAAGCCGATTTTTTTCTCAAACCGCCGGAACCTCGGGATGGCAACGAAGGAGATATGCACCACTTTGATACCATGGAAAACCATAATTTGCTGGCATTTGCAGGGGAATGATCATTCCAGGGTCTCTTAGATGGTGCAGGATTTCGTCCATCCACAGTATGATACTTGATAAAGAAGTCCTGCCGAAAGGATACTCATCTTAAGGCTTGCAGGCCTGAACCGCACTGTGCCGTGCTTCCATTTGTGGGAGACTGCCATTTGTGAATGCGTTCCAAGAAAAACACAAACATATTGACAGCTGATAGATAACCGGGGACTTCAGCAATACTCTTAAGCAAATGGACAAGGATAGACACTTCTTGCCCCACGGGACAAGCCAACAGACCCAAGACTCGCTCAAGAAGGTGAGTTGCCATGAACAGTGAGCGGGTTGTCCTTTCTGAGCATACCAAACCCAACCTTCTTGGAGGCTCAACGGAACAACAACAACAACAACAACAACAACAACAACAACAACAACAACAACAACAACAACAACAACAACAACAACAACAACAACAACAACAACAACAACAACAACAACAACAACAACAACAACAACAACAACAACAACAACAACAACAACAACAACAACAACAACAACAACAACAACAACAACAACAACAACAACAACAACAACAACAACAACAACAACAACAACAACAACAACAACAACAACAACAACAACAACAACAACAACAACAACAACAACAACAACAACAACAACAACAACAACAACAACAACAACAACAACAACAACAACAACAACAACAACAACAACAACAACAACAACAACAACAACAACAACAACAACAACAACAACAACAACAACAACAACAACAACAACAACAACAACAACAACAACAACAACAACAACAACAACAACAACAACAACAACAACAACAACAACAACAACAACAACAACAACAACAACAACAACAACAACAACAACAACAACAACAACAACAACAACAACAACAACAACAACAACAACAACAACAACAACAACAACAACAACAACAACAACAACAACAACAACAACAACAACAACAACAACAACAACAACAACAACAACAACAACAACAACAACAACAACAACAACAACAACAACAACAACAACAACAACAACAACAACAACAACAACAACAACAACAACAACAACAACAACAACAACAACAACAACAACAACAACAACAACAACAACCAAAAAAACAACAACACAAACAACGCTCGTTCCACACAAAAGGGATTGGGACGACTTGGACCGACTCTGGATGCATGGCAACAAACACAACTTTTGAACAGGGCTCGAAAAAAGAAACCGGAGCCCAAAGGATCCGGACGCCAAGTGCCAGGCGTCACTTCCGCAGCATGAGACTCAACCAGAAGTTGACAACTTGTGGTCTGCCAACGGAGAACAAAAAACCAAGTTGAACCGGATGGCCAAAAAAAAGCCCAGGAACCATCTGTGAACAACCCCACTGGACATTCCCTCCGAAGCTCTCTCTGAAGCCATCAAACATAACACCCAAACAATCCTAAATCAACATATACCCTGGCTTTATCTGGAAAGATGCGCACATTGGGTGATTCCCCGGGCGTAATCCCAGGGTGTAATACTGTGGACAGACTCTGCACCACCTAGGAAACCCAGGCTTCTGATGATTTTGCTGTACATGCCAACAAGGGTTCTGGTTTCGCTTGGTTTCATTTGGCGCGAAATGGATTTCGCAACCACTGTGTTAAGCAAAAAGGGAGGCCACTAAGGCCTCCAAAGGAGCCCAAGGCTCTTGTCCAAAACCTGAAATAAACATTGGACATGCCAGCAACGGATCTATGAGTCTTTGCCTCCCGAAAAGTGCGGGACCCCCAACACCTCCATTTGCGTTTCTCCGTCCGCTGGACCAAAAAGTAGGGAAACCCACAGTATTGAGCAAAAAGGGAGGCCACTCAGGCCGTAAAATCTGCCGGCCCCAGGCTCCTGTCGCAGATCTGCGGGTAGGAAATCTCCGACTCCGCGGATCCTCCCTCCCCCCCCCCCAAAAAAAAAAGGAAGGGCAAAAAGGCGCACTACTCAAGGACCTAGTTTTCCGTCCCTGGGACCAAAAAGTAGGGAAACCGACTCCCGCGACTCATCCCCAACCCCCCCCCCCCGCCAAAACCGCTGGGCGCATGGGCGGGCCAGAGCTTCCGCGCGCAGCGGAAGATCTCCGCTAGGATCTCCAAACGACGCAAGGGGCTGTCTGTGCCCATCCTGCGAGCGAATTGGAGCCCCGGAGCCCAGTACACCCGGCACAAACATATATATATATATATATATATGGCTATGGGTCAAAACTCCGTACCCCCAGTGAACATCCCAATCCCCACTAAAAAAGACTAAAATGGGTGATGCACCCCAAAATGGTACCATTGGTTTTGACCCACAGCCATATACACAGTATATAGTAATGCATATGAATTATCTATGCACCGGAGCCCCGGTCCCTTGGTTGCTGCAACGACCCCTCTGCAAAAAGTGAGTAAATCACTTTTTGTGGGTTTAGTGGAAAACCCAACTTGACTTCAACCAAAAAGTGAAAGTCTAAAGATCCAACCCAATAGCAATCAAGCGGAGTAAGCCAGGCTCTTGGCAAACAAGCCTGGAGTGTATAAACAAACAAAGATATATACATATATATATATATATTATATGTATATATAAGAATACATATTTATGCACAACTATATTCAGTTTGTGTGATCCATTTATCTACTTATTGGTTTAGACACTAATGTTTCCATTAATTTTCAGATTCTGGTCCATGCTTCAGTCTACGCTAAGATGCAACATGGTGGAAATCATGCGGGTCTCTCTCATACACGAGGGTCATAGTAAAAGAGCAATTGCAGCCTAATGGTATAAAAATATGAATGACTATTTGTGACTGAGGCCTTTAGGGTTCACATAATTTGAGACCAACCCATACCCCTTGTTGCCTGGAGGTTTGTAAGATGGTTTCCAGTCACTACCAAGCACTTCGCGGCAAGTCCCACCCAAGCTAGTCCAGCGCAGAAAGTCGGAGTAATCCAGTCTTACCTTCGGGGGTATATTTATTTGTTGTAGGTAAATCTTTTGCAGTTAATATCAAAACTTTATTTGTACTATAATATACTGCAACTGTTGTATCAATACAAACATTAACTTTATTAACCATTTCTTTTGGATTTTTACCAACTAACATATTTGTACTATGTGATATGCTTATTGTGTATCACGAATATCTTTTTTTGTGATATCCCATTGTACTGGTTCAGGGGTTGGCTCAGGTTGGGTTGCGGGCTCCCGGGAGGGCAACTTGGGGCCATGATAGCTCCGGCGGATCGGATCCGATTTTTGGTTCACCATGCGCCCGCAGTCAAAGCCGAGGGGGTGATGCCAAAGTTGTGAACCTCTTTGCAGGGCCCCCAGATTCATTTCGGGGGCTGTAAGCCCATGTCAAGTCTCCATTTCTGAGCGGAGCATCTGGGAACAACCGAATTGAGCCTGCCATCCTCCGAATGGTTGTTCCTCTTTGCAGGGTCCGCGGGTCCCCAGATTCCAGGGGGCCGTAATCCCAGGCATTACAAAGGCGGGCAATTCACTGAGGGACTCTGGCTAAGCCAGCTTCCGTTCTTCGAGGACTCTACGTATGCTTTCCTGGTGTTGCCGCCAAAAAGCCTTTCAGATTCAAGCACTATCAGAAATCTTACAACCCATTGCGACATATTCAGAAGGCATCCCCAAGAGGCCCAACTGCAACTGCCCATGGCTCTACGTCCTACATCCCACTGCCATTTGGTCCGCGAACCAGCTTACAAAAACGCATGTAGCCAAGTGCAGGGCGGAAATCTTCAGTGAATTGGCCAGTGGAAGTTTAGATCATTTCTCATGGCCCATTTGCGGGGGTGACCCTTCGATCGATTCACCAATCCGTGCAAAAGGGCAATGCTTCAAATGAAACGTGTACTCCAAGGGGCACGCATTGTGCGGCTTCAATGTTCATCAGGGTGAGCGAGCTACCCCCAAACGTAGAATTCCCACAAACAACCCTACCTCAGCTCTAGTTGGCAAGTGCAGGGGTCACCATCCCAATCAACGCATCTTCAACTGTCCTTTTGAAAGGATTGGGCGATTGATTCAACCTCCCTTCCAAAACTATTTGCCGAAAAGTCACTGCACGCCTCCTCTTCGTTCCCCTTTCTCGGCGACCGGGCCCCCTGTTCCAAACACCTTTCCGTGCCCGATCGATCCGTCTCGTCGAAGTTCATCGACCGGCGTGGGCTCTCGCGAGGCTCTCGCGAGGGATTCGAGGCGCGCCTCTGCAGAAAGGCCGGGCCGTAGTACACCAAGAAGGCCGGGCCCGCCGTCTGCTCCCTGACCTCGTTGGCAACAAGGGGACTTTTTTCAAAGGCCAGTGGGCCGCAAAATGGAACCAAAACAAACAAAAGGTGCCAACTTGAGGATCTGGACAAAGCAGGAAACATCACCTATCCCCTTTTGGTTTCCTTTTGGGGGAAGACGCAAGGGGCTATTTAGAACTAAGTTTACTAAAAACAACGCTTAAGCCGGCGCAAGCAGATTCTGGTTGGAGGGGTGTACCCTGGTCCCCTTCTTTTCCTCCATCCTTCCGGCATCAAGTTGCCCTTCCTCTTTGTTTTTTGATTTGGTTGCGACCCTTGGAAACAATATACATATGCAGTGATACATTCCTTTACTAAACCAACAAGGGAAGATTAAAACAAAAACCACATTTTCTTAAGCGAATGGAAGCTTTTGTTTGGACTCCCCCCAATCCGACAAAACCGAATCCAAGCCGCAGATGAGGGCACAAAGCTGTCTGAGAAGCTCTGCTGCTCCGCGCCTCGTTTGAGAAGACTTGCGGCTGAGATGGCTGAGTTTGGATGCCCCAGCTTCAGGTAGTCTACAACCGTGGGGAACCATGTTTTGGTTTTGTGCCTGAAAGGGACAACCTGGGTCTGCGCGGGCTTCACCCAGCATATACAATTTTCCGGAATCAACCGACTTGCAATCAGTGACCCGCTCGGTAAGAAGGAATCTCTTTGTGCCTGAGAAGAACAAGAGAACTGAACCCATTATTCTTATGGATTTCACTTGCGGGGAACCCGCCAAACAAACACATACTTGGAATTTAGAGGGTCCATCTGAGTCATCAACTGCACTTTTGGGAAACCACTATCTTATCCAGTGTCTCAAAAGCGCGATGAGTAAGGGGGCAAAACGAGCGGACTATTCAATGCCCCTCATGTTGCTGCTCATGTGCGGGATCAATGGCATTTGCAGGTCTGGGTTTTGGAGGGATTGAAGCTTGCATGTCACCAATATAAGCTTGTAAGGCAGCATGCACCCCTTGCATCAGTGGCATACGAGCTTCATGCCCTCCCAAATCATTGCCTACTACCTGGAAGTTCCCAATATGGCATGTTGTTGCTTGTTCTCGGTAGGACATATGAGAGTGACCAGGTTCCGACCAAATATGCATCCTTGTAGTGAATGTTTTGCTGACCTTGCCACGCAACCGACCCCTGAACATATCCCTTCCAGAGTATAGTGGGTAACAATCAGTTAGCACATGGAGCCAATTCTGGCCCACCAGCTTCCTCGGAAAATGTCTGCTGACTGCACCCACTGGTTGGATATGCTAATTGGTTGTTAGGGCCATTTCAGAGTTGGGGCCCTTGATTGCAAGATACGGCAAGCCTGGTATTCGGAGTACGGGTCGGCAAGCGCATCCTGACATGCAACCACTATCATAGCTGAAGAATATCAACTCGTTGACAGTGTTTGAGGTGCATTCCGGGTACAACATACCCTCAAATGGGTGTGTCAAAATAGGGGGGCCCCATTTTTTGGGGGTTTCCTCTAAGCCTTCCCCAAAAGGGGTACCCTCAATAAAGGAGCTTTCCCCAAACAGGTCTCTCCCTCTCCTTCTCCTTCTGTCTCTCTCTCGTCTCAGCGCCGCACCGGTGCGGGCCATTTCCACACTGAGCACCTTACAGCGTTAGGGATCCGCCAAGCGTCAGCCACAGAAATCATCTCATTCTTACCCTTTAAAACTCCCTGCGCCCTGGGGAAGCTAATCTTTTTTACAGACATATAGCCCATGTTACCCAAAAAGTTGAACAGTTGTGTTTTTAAGAGGTAAGCATTTGAAGAAAGATCCCAATGGATTCAGGCCAAAACATGCGATGCACGCCTTTCCCTGATTCGCATTCTACACCCTGAATACTTGGATGTTCAACCAACTACGTCTCACACCTGCATGGCTATGGCGTTCTCATCTCCTTCGCCCCCAAGAAGCCTCATCTCCGCCAAACCCAGCGCCCCCGCCCAAACCCACGCCCAAGCCCACGCCCCACCGCCCGGGACCCCGCCTCCTTGTCCTCGTCGCTGAGCTTTTCGAAGGCGGCGAGCACCTCCGTGGCGTTGCCCTGCGCCTCAGAGCCGAAAGCGTGGGGCCAGGCCGCCCGCCAGCCGATTTTTCGGCGGACGGAAATGAAAAAAAAACCTCCGCGGGGGTTTTCCATCTCTACTCTTGGTATGGGCTTGCGAAAAACTGACTGTTTTTTGCAGACCCCCAGTAAAAATGAACAGAACCAAAAAACTAAAAAACCAAAAACACATGCCAAGAACAGTGAAGTGTTGGTACCCCAGATAGAAAACTAGAGGGTAATCTAAAGCCAGAGTTGGCCATGGGGGTAAACCATTTGGTTACCATTTAGGGGGGTTCCAATACTTCCCCGGTAAAAACATCAGCCCAAAGGCAAACTCAGAAATCATACTGGCAAACAAGGTGATGCTGAAAATCTACGTGGGAAGCCTATTTGTGCGATCTTTGAGAAAACGCCATGTTGGTCAATCGGGGCTTTTGACATTCCCGGAGACACCATTGGCATCGTGGCCTTCATCTTTACTGTGTACCGAGGACTTGCGGTTTGGAAGCAAGTACCTCTCAGATGGTTCCCCTTAATCAAGGAAACCGCCCTAAGGGTCCTGAGAGCCAATACCCAGAGCAAGGGCCATACTTTGGAAGTTCTCCAAGTGCTTTTTTCGCCCCCTGGACAAAATACACATATTTGCAAGAGTGAAATCGATTCCCTTCAAAACCAACCGCGGAAAAATAAACACCTGTTCATTTCAGCAAATGGACGCCCTCTTTTGAGCCCGCTCAAGCTGCAACCACTCCGAAGCCGATTTCTGGGAGACCAGCCATAGCTTTCAGTTGTTGGTTGGAAAAGCTGTCGGTACCCAAGAGACCAACTTGACTTAAACCGGTTGCAACCAGAGATCTGCTGTAAAGTCGGTCGAGCCATTTTTGGGGCGCTGGACTCCGTCAGTGAACATTTTTCGGTGCCGCTGAACAACTGGGTTTATCGCACTCTTCCCAACCGTCAAAGTGGACAGGGGGCTTTGTCAGACTTGGACTGTGGTCCTGCCAAATCCTCCGATCGTCAGCTATGATTCTCAAGCAGAGGGTAGGTGTGTTGAAGGTTCTGAAGGGGAACGGTCCCTCTTCCCTTTGGCCTCTGTTCGAAGCGAGCCCGAAGACAACCCATAGGCTCACTTATAAGTCAAAAAGACCTGAAACATGCAAGGCCGATGGGGAAAAGCAAAAGACTCACTTTCTGGGTGGATCGGTAAACAACAAGACTGAACTTTTGATTTGCCACTAAAATGGTCTTCCCGAAAAGTTTAAAGTCCGGCAACTGAGGAAGTGAGAAGATCAAAAGGTCAATTCGCTTTGGGCCGAGGCTTGCCACTCACAGCGCGAAAACCAATGCAGATCTGTACTGACCCCACTTATAACGTCTAGGGAATCCACCATAGACCAGGGTGTTTATAAAGGGTCAGTTTTCAAAAATTCTCAGCGTGGAGGAAACCCCACATCTAACCTCCATGAGCCAAAAGGATTCCCTATATGCATTTTCCCCATAACAAATATAAAACAAACACACACACACACACAAACAATCAAACAAACAAGCAAACAAACAAACAAAATAACCAATATCACCCCATGTCGAGGACACTCCGTTCACATGCTTTGTCTTAAAATAGGACCCCTAAAATGCATTTCGGATTTCCTTTCTAATCAGGCAAGCCCCCCCAACTTGGCACCCCAAAGTTATGCGGGTCCCGCCCCGCCAGCTGGGGCTGTATTTTTTTGGGGCCATCCCCAGAGCAGTTCTGGTTTTCCCCTTTGGCTTCCGCTTAAATTCACCATGTTTGTTCCCACAAAATGAGATAAATCGGCTCCTGTCCAAGACGGAACCCACCAGGGGTCGCTTTTACCCACCCCCAAGTCAGGTTCCATGTAAGCGCACCTGACTTAAGAGGCTACCATCAAAAAACGAGCGAATGAGCAATGACATGGTGGTTTGGATCTTGGTTCCCCTCAACCACAAAACGGTACCCACTCAAAACACCGCCCACACGCACACCTAGGTTAGTTCACAAAAAAAAGCAGCTGTTCCATGGCAAGATGCACAGGCCACCATTAGAAGAAATCGCCCGGGGGTCCCAGCCACGACCAACAAGATTCCCTATATTTCCCTTTTTGGTGGTTTTAAACATCACCTTTTTGGTCCATGAAAGGTGAGTAGCCCTTGGGGGTGATGTTTTAAGGGGAAATCACTCGGGGGCCCTGACCAAATTGGGCGCCCACGCCATGCAAAGGAGCCTCGCTTTGGCCAGCCCCGCGGGGCCCGAGACCATGGGCCCCACCGATGGCTGGTGATTGGCCCAGCGGTCCTTCGCTCCCGAGGGGTGTGGGCGGTAGGTAGCTTTTAGATGTGCTTTGAGGCTCGGTTCCGGTTTCGGGTTGCTTTTAAAGGACACCAAAGAGACATCTTGATTGCTTTTATTTTCTTTTTTTTGGGGGGAGGGAAAGGGAAATCACTGTTCTTGTGTGTTTTCCGATTTTTGTTTTGGGGTGGGGGGGTGGGGTCCGCCTAAACACATGCCCATATTGAGGCCACAAATGGCACTGGCTTGGTTGGAATCTCTTTGAGGGAGGATGACCACAGCGAGTGGGATTCTTAATTTGTTTGTAAGTCCAACATGGGTGTGTGTGTCCACATGGGGTGACCCCAAAATTGTGGTTTTCCTTTTGGTTTTGAACCAACCTAAAAACAACAAACACAAACCCACATGAAGAAAAACCTGCCAATTCAACATTGAAAAGCATTGGTTCCGTTGGAACCTTCATGTTTAGCTTGCTAGTTTCTTAAGCAGAAACCCAATCTCCTTTGACACTATTAAAAAACAACATTTTATGACACCCATTCAAATTGGCAACCAGCAACTATATGGGTGTTTCTCAAGAAAGGGCCTGGGCCCTTCAAATGGCTCGTTCTGTCTTCGTTTCCCAAAAAGAAATCCCCATAGCAGGGATCCTCACATAAATTATACACCTAAACATTGCAACTTGTAAATGGTGGTTTCCCTTTATGTTGGTGGAAAAAGCAACATGTTTCAAATGGTTGCAAAATGAATTTCCTTTAAGGAGCCCTGCATAGCAGGGCAACATTGCTCAGCTGGAGACACAGGACCCCCCATGAAAGGAACAAACCGTGAGCTCTCAACCAGCTCGCCAGAAACAGGCGAGACCCTCACTTCCTGCGACTGGCCAAGTCCGAACTTTTTATTTACCACTACAATGGTCTTTCCAAAAAGTTTAGAGTCCACCAACTCAGGAAGTGAGTAAATGGTCTTTCCAAACGGTGTGAAGTCTGAGGAAAGACATGATATGCTCGTGGCTGGAAAAGGAGGTAGAGCAGCCCAGAATTCAGCAGCTTCCTTCCAATTGCTACCAATTGGTGGCTCGGCTTACCTGATGAATGTAAGTCACTACTATGGACTTGGAAATGACCAACGACCGCCACCAAACGGCTAGGTCGATTTGCTTTGGGCACCCAAACAGCCGGTCCTACCCATCATAAAAGTCAAGAGTAGATGCCCCATAGACGCAAGCTTCACAAATGGAATTCTCCCAGCCTTGCCACCCAACACCCCCATGCGCCGCAAACAGCGACCAGGCTTCAGTGGACCCTGCGTCGATTTGGAAAAAGCCAGAGATCCAACCGGAGGAACCTCCCGGCCCCAAACAGCGACCCGTAGCCAATCATTGAACCCCCAAAAAGGGGGCTTGGTGCGATTTAGGCTCACAAAGGCACCCGAAAAACGCCTGGGAAGGTTCAAAAGACAGGCTGCATCCCGGCCTTACCCGAGGTTTGGGGGGGTCAAGTCTTTTCACTTGGTTGACGTTGGAAGGGGAGCAAAAACTTAAATTTTAGCTGTTAAGTGTATTTCAGCCACTAAACCACAAAAAATACGCAAAAAAGTAAAATGTTTCCCAACAACCACCATGTTCACTCCTTGAGGTAGTCTTCCATGACCTCCGTCTCTGTGCGATCTGCCAGTTGCTGGATATACCTCGCAGGGAGCTTTCCTGCAGGAGCTGGGGTGTCTCAATTCTCATCCAGCATAGGGGAGTGATCTTGAAAGCAAGGCAAAAGTGATCTTGAAATTGCCAAACTGACCCAGAAACACGGTGGGTTTTCAGAAAGAGCGATGGTTGACATTATCTTTCTGAACACTTCACACTTCTGGTAAATAGCGGGACCTGCGTGGTTTTCACTTGTCGGCCCCACAACTTGGTACCCCCACTTAAAAACATGTGGGCTGAAATAAGCAACACACCCACATGAAACCTTGGTACGTGCCCTTGTACTATGGTATCGCTTAGTATCGTTTCTGTTCCTCAGCATCGGTTTACATCTACCAGTTGCTAAGTGCACTGGCCACGCAATTACCGAGCATAGGAGAAGCAGGCAGCAAACAGCGGTGCACGGACTTGCTTCGCGTGTTTCGAAAGCAGGTTCGGCCATCAGGAAGAGGACCTCGAGTCGTTCGTTGGTGTGAAGATGGCAAACCGAAGACAGGGCGTGCTACTGGGCTGGTTGGGTTTGGCGTGGGCATCGGTCATCGAAGTGTCGGTTTGAGTCTCGGATCCCGGGTCGGGGCCAAGTTTCCCCTCCGAGACCTCGGTTTAGCAAAATATTCGTCTCCCTGGCTTCTGGGGGGTGTTGTTATATTGCTTTTCCCCTCAGAAACGGTTTGCAATGGTAGGGGTCCGCAAAACAAGTTCAGGGACGGCCCCGTTTTGATACCGACAAGGCTCCGGGCTTTGATTTCGGGGTCAGGGGGCTTGGGGTGTGGATACCTCTGGCACGCATCACTCTTCAAACTTAGCTACACGCCCCGCAAAGCACAGCCTACCATGAGCATTTTTCAACAGTCCCGCAAACGTGGGCAACTGAAAGGACTTTAAGCGTGTACAAACCTTCTGCTGTGGATGGACGAACTCCTGCACCACTTTGAAGCCATGCGAAACCATTGTTCGTTGGCGCAGGGTTTCTGAGGTGGTGCAGGATTTTGTCCATCCACAGTAGGAGGGTCCCTCTAATTCTAAAAATATGTTCAAATGCACACCCTGGGCATCAGCTTTTGCTCCCCAACGACGTGTTCAAATGGCTCAAATTTAAAATTAGAGGAAGTTCAAATGCAACTGCACCCTCCCCTTATGGGATCCATTCCGTTCGCTCCCGTGGTTTCCTCCAAAGCCTTGCGCGTCTTCATTTTGGGGAAGGACAGGAAGGGGGGCCCGAACGGTGAGGATTGAAATCCTTCCCGCACCAAACTCCACGCCTCACGGATTGCATGAAGCTCTTCCTGAGCGGGAAAATGTGGCACAACAATTCGAGAGTTGTACCCTTCATTCGCATCAGTCCGCTCACTTGCGGAGAGCAAAGTGAGCTGGCAATCAGTACAGTATGGGTACATCAGCCCGTGACTTGTTCAGCAGAAATACATCTTGAAGCCATTTCTTGGTCGGGTTGACAAATTCTAGTGAGAACCCCGGAAACAAACGGAAACAAAAAGGGGGACGTGGGCGCTGCTGAGCAACTCGGCTTTGGGCCGAACCCTCCAACGATGTGGATCGCTTGGAGGAGACAGTCTCAACTTGTTCAAGACAAACAATTACCAAAAAGGACATGGGCTTCTCAGTCTATGACAACAGTCTTACCAAAGGGGTGGTATACATGGCGTAAAGAACTTTTGGGGGGTACGACCTGAGGGTAGGATGCTGAAACCCTTGACTCACAGGGCAAAATCGGTAGTGTTTTCTTTTGTGTCGTTGCCGGGGGCTAAACATGAACCCAAATGAGAAAACAACGTCAGCAGGTCTGGACACACATCAGTAAACTTCTCTATCATATTTTGTTTTTGTTTAGTCTCCAAAACGACCCACAAGGAAGGCATTACCTAGGCTCAGCATTGCTCGTCGTTCAACTTCTGAAGGGGGGCCCTTTCCAATTATAAGACTCCAAATCTTTTAATATGCAAAAGGAGGCTCCTCCAATCTTAGCCCTTTAAACACCACCTCCAAACGTCCAAAGGGGTAGTTTTGCCTTTCATTGTCATACAGGGATGTTCCTCTCCAATTCTAGCCCTTCAATGGTTCGTTCCTGGGTCAACAAATGGGTCAACAAATGGGCGTGTTTTTTTTTTGTGGGTACCTGTTCTTGGGCGGCTTTAAATGAAACTTAAAGGAAAACCATCATTTGAGGAGCCAACTCCCAAAAAAGTGACACACCCATATGCAAACCTCAAAACCCAAAGCGGGCAAACAGCAGCCTTTGGCGGAAACTACCGCCATTCCAGCTCTTGGTGGTTTACCTAAAAGCGCCCTAGGGAGGATTGGACCGCTGAAGGTCTGGAACCCTTCCTAACCTGAGCTGATAGCTTCTCAGCTCCCTAATTTTAGCGGAGAAGGAACACCTCCAACCAACACGTGAGAACCGGGGGGGGCTCTGCATGGGCGGCATGTTGGACGACCGAGCGGCAAGACGTGCATCGGCAGGGTGCAAAGCTTGGAGCAGCCGAAGAGCGGCGTAGGTTCGCCCCCAGCCAAGTCCTTTGGGGAGCGATTGGTCCAAAAAATGATACCGAACATCCAACTTGCCGAGCTCCCTCCTTTCATTCTGAAAACCCCTGATTCTCTCGTGGGAAGTCGGCTAGTGGCAAAGGTACCCAGAGAAACGCCAGTTTCCAGGCCTGGGTGCGCTTCTTTTCGATTGCTTGGTTGCTTGAACTTGCGCCATAGATGAACAAAAAGCACATCCAACTCGCGACAGAAATTGTCACTGGTTTGGTCGAGTTTGTGCTTGGTGCCGCTTTATGATTTCCCTGTCGTTGTGCCGGCATTTCTGGACCCGGGCCCCTTGTCCCTTACTGCTTTCTCCTGCCCAGAGAACCTGGGGAGTCTCACATGCGAAGCGGATACGAACACTGCACCAGGCCAGACTTAGACTTAGACACTTTTTCCTGGTTCAAGAAAACATGAAGGACACCCAGAAGGGTAAAAAGTCAAACAGGTACGCTAAGTCCGGCAAGGCTAAAGGTAGACCGCGTTTAAACCAAGGGGGTATCCTCAAGAACTAGCCGCACCCATTTCAGGAGTGGACATCAAAGCCGCCGGCAGCTTACTCGGTTGCGGATCCCGCCCCCCCCCCCCCCCCAAAAAAAAGAAAAAGAGCGTCGAACATCTTTGAAGCTTCGGCCGAGGGGCCGTGAGCCAATGCACGAAGTACAAGCTCAAGTCACGGCGGCCGACTTTGCGGGCAGACCTCGCTGCGCGAAGCTGTGGGCTCAGCCCTGTGGGATATATTAAAAGAGTAGCTAATAGTTTGGCCAAAAAAAGGACCAACAAGGGCACGAACAGGTGAAAACCACAAGAAAGCGCATCCAACCCGTTTTCCTCGAGGGAAGCGGTGATCATTTGAATCAAAAATTGATCGGTTCCAGCTGTTCAGTGACCCGAAAGGTCGAAAAAGGGAACCCTCATTGGGGTTGACGAGTTTTAGTGGGGAAGCCATCAAACAAAAAAGGGAAAAGGGTGCCAGTGAACAATTGGGTGGTATTAAAATTGTGTACCCAGAATCATGTAAAGAAATAAACAGGCGGATACCCGCACCTATACACCCCTCACTAACCTTCACCGGGTTTGATTTTTGGCTCGTTTCGGTGTCTTTTTTGAGGGTACACTTCTGGTGGCTGATGTTTATGGGAAACCAAAAAGGACACCACTCTTTTTCAAAACGGGCTTCCCGTATTTTGAGACAAACCCATTTGGTTGCCCTCCCCTGAATCTGGGGATACCAAGGCACTTCTTGGTTTCCTTTCATGGGATCCATGTCGATGGACAGTGGGACAAGGGACCTGCACGGAACCGAAGAAAACCTATGAACCACTTGGATCACCAAAGTGGTGGACATAAATTGTGATATCCACTGAAGATCAGGAACCCCCCGAGTAGGGTGGTTCGATGGCTTTCGAGTTGGGTTTTGAATTCCTGGCTTTTGTAGAGAGAGCAAGAAAAAGGCTCCAAGGGTTTGGTGCTGGGAGAAAGTGAGCGCTGAGGACAAAGTGCTCCGAGCGGCTCCGTCTGGGCACTCACTGCTGCCTTGATGCCCCGAAAAACGGCTCCTTCCGGCATCCGACATCCGGCGCTTCGCTTCCGGATATCGTGGCTGTAGGGAGTCGGAGGGGGGGTTAGAAACATGCATCCTTCGTGAAACCTTTTAGCAGCCACAGGAAGTCCTCAAGAAAGGTGTCCCTTTGGAACAAAAACATATCATCCATCAGTGGCTGGGGCGAGCTTTGCCATGGCAAGACGGGTTGGAACTGGTGCCGTTGATTCCCAATTGAGGCACGGCAATGGATTCTAGTCGCTTGGCTGTCGGGGAATCAACCGCTCTCTCGAGGGGAGAGGGGAGTATCTGAACATTCCCTGCACACGGCTGGTGGTTTGGGAAAGCCATCGCGAAGCTCGGATCAAAGGCAAGCTTAGAAATCAAGCTGGAACCATCATTCCTCTTGGACTAATATCTGTATATACAGATATATACACATATATATATATATAGATGTGTGTTTATATCTACGTATATGCCTGTTGTATTTATATATATATGGTAATGTATATGTGTATGTCTTCCTTTAGCATCGTCCCAAAGGGAAGCTGGTAATCCCCAGAAGGCGAGCCAGTATCCCCAGAAGCTGTCCTGGCGGTGCCTCTGCCTGAACAAACCAACCTCAGACGGGCAGTGACTGGGCCAAAGAATCTGAGGCTTGGTTCCCACCAAAACAGGATTTATCCCCCATACTCCCTAGGCCCTAAGGGCTGGTTCCTTTTCCATTCTTTTCAACGTTCCCTCGCTTACCAACTCTACTGGTACATGGATCCACTGGCCTAGGGGTTGCTTCCTTTTCCCTTCTTTGAAAGACCATCCAAGACCATCCTTCTTTTCAAAAAGCGATCGCCGTGCCCCCATCGTTCTTTCCGGAGGTTTTCCAGAAAGAAGGATCCCTGGAAACAATGGGCGCGGTATTCCTAGAAAGAACCCAAACAACAGAAGTTCTCAACTTTGTGGTCGCCTGTAGTTTACCGAAAGCGGCTCCGTGAGCGCTGAGCTTTTCCGCATCCCTGAAAAAAGGTCACCATTCTGATTTTACATATCTTTGTGTTGGGACATGCACACATTCAATCAGTAAACAAACAAAACAATGACCGCCCCAAACTAGGCACACGGTCCAGCCCAAATCAAGGTTAGTAGCCTGTTTATAGAAAGCCTCCAATATAATCTCAGTACATGCAAACAACAAACACTTTGAGACTTTTTGAGATTCTCCCAAACTCCAAAACAGCAATTCCAAAAACCCTCAGTAAATGCAAGATTCCCGAAAGCACCTCGAGAATTCCGAAAAGTCTCAGCGCAATGTCTGGAATGCACATTCCCAACACACCCTCAGTAAATGCAAGATGCCCCCAGTAAATGCAACATGCCAAAAACACCTGAGAATTTCAACCATTCCCAAAGATTCAAGCCAAGGGGTCGGGGTCCCCTGGGATTGCACCAATCAACTGAGGAGTTTAATTCTCATTCACTAAGTCCTTGGCCATTCTTGGGATTCACCAGTTGGTCCTGAGGGCGGGCCCTGGCAAGGGGACCCCGTGATCAGCTTTTTGGGGCCATGACTTGAAATGGGAACCCTGCAAGGGGGAACTACAAGGTCAGATCCGGTCGATTTGCTTTGGGCAAGTGAGAAACAAATGTCTTCCCGGGATTCCTATTCTGCAATCTCCTTGGAAGACAACTGCATGGGGGTTGACTACTATGTGGTTACAGAACTCCTGGTAACTGGTTGTGGCTCCAAAAACCGGTACCCAAAATGGAACCTGGTAAGTGGAAACATGGACCAAAACCTGCGCAACCACTCCTGGTTAATTTTGAGCCACACCCAACTCCCTAGCTCCCTAGAAGCAAAACTACGGATACCGGGTCCCAGCTCCGAAACGGCTCCCTTCCAAGCACCTGGTTGACCGAACGAGCATGAATTGGACGAACTTCCGCGGGGATACGGAGGGAGCGGGTCCGGATATGGGGGGATTCCCTTGGCGCCATTTCCCATATCAAACATAGTCAAGGTGCATTTAGGGGAATCCTCCCGTATCCCTGCTAGTTGGTTTCCCTGAGCATGGGCAGCGAAACCCTAAGTTGCCAAGTCGCCGTTGTTGAAGGCCAATCCGCTCAGGACATTTTGCACTAACAGCTGTAGCGAAGGTTGCAGCCGGCCTCCAATCGATTCGAATCGATTGCGAAGCCATGGGCCCACTGATCTACCGAGTCCAGGGGGTGTTCTACTCCCCTCCCTCCCAACATACCGTGGATGGACGAAATCCATTTCGCAGCACTTTGAAACCACAGGACACCTTTGTTTGTTGATCATTTACGGGGAATTCATGATTCTAGGGCTCTTGGGTGCAGAATTTCGTCCAACAGCACCTCACAGGAAAAAGCCGGCAGGAATCTGATCTAGGTGCCCTCCCGGTGGAAATGTGTGCTGGAGGAAGCGTAGGGCTCTTGAAAAAGTCAAACTCTAGGGGCTGATTCCTTTTCCATTCCTTTCAGCCATCCTTCTTTTCCAAAACCGATCGCTGTTTGCTCAGGGTTTTTGGTGGTTTCGAGAAAGAAGGATCCCTGGAACGAATGGGGAAGTTACCCCTAGAAAAACAACATACCCATTCCCCGTTCGGGAAGACTACAATTGGCGAGTTGGCACCTAGATATGATGTTTGCCATTGATCGCACCCGCACTCCTACCTAGCTCAAGGAAAGCTCTTTGGCAACCTGCTAGTGTCATAAAAATTCCACCCGCCCCTTCCCCAACTCCTCCCTCTTCCCAAACAGTAAGAGCCTCATACGTCTTATGGTAAGGAAGCACTGGACGTGTAGGGGGTTGAGACGATGATTCTACTCTGCAATTCAACGGAACCAATCCAACTACATACGGAATCCTACGAAGGCTCCTCTTGAAATGATGTTTTCTTTGGGTTCCACTTTGATCCGTGAACCTTTCCGGTTTCTGGGAACCTTTCCTGAACGCCTCGTTGTTTTTCCTCTTGGACACAATCTTCAAACCGCTTTTCCGAGGGAAAGGCTTTGCTATGGACTCGAACGAAGATGGGATGCTGGCCGGACCCTGATCCCTGGGCATTCACCCTGCGCCAAACGGATACCGCAGAAGCGCTACGTATATAACAATGCTCGGATTCGGCGCGGCAAAAGGAACTTCTGGTGGATTCCATGTTGGGAGGGTATCTTCCTGAGAGCCCGGACGGAAAAAAACAACAACAACAACAACAACTGCTTGACTGCCACATCCAGCCCATCAAGTCGCTGGGGGAAATGCTGGGTCAAGACAGGTTGGAACCTCAAACAAGCTGCCCTTCATGGCCCGACAAAATCAAAGAAGCACACACACACACAAAGGCTCCCCACAAAGCAGGCATGCATCCGATTCTCCTGTCCAATGCATCCGTGGCACGAAGTGATGGAAGCAGGTGCGTGTAGCGCTCAACGATGTAGAATATTGCCTGGGCCCGCGCTGTCTCGCAATCCAAGGCGCATGTGGACCCTAGCTGACTCGTGCCATGTTGCAAGGGCTCCAAGTAAAGGTGCTGTGGATGGACGAAACCCTGCACCACCTAAGCAACCATGAGACACCATTGTTTGTTGGTATTTACAGGGGAATCAACATTGCAGTGTTTCTTCGGTGGTGGAGGCCTCCAACCCCCCCCCCGGCTAGATGCCCTTTGGCAAATTTCAAGGCCAAGCCACTGACAGCTCGCCTGTGTTCCATGTGAGTGTCCCTTTTGGAGTTGGCAGCTTTTTTGGTGCTTTTTAATGGGAAACAACAAGGAACACCAAAAGCCTTGTCTGTTTTTTTTGGGGGGGCTAAAAAAAGACACCCTGACATGTGAACATATCAGTTCCACTTCACTCAATGACCAATCATGAGATTTCCCTAGAAATGGACGGATCACAACAGGCACTTCATGTGGGGGGTGATCATAATTCCCCGCCTCCAAATGTCCATTGCTAACTTGTCCGACACGGTACACACCATGTGTGGTTGCTTCGCTGCTCATCCTATTGTGGATGGACAGAATCCTGCACTACCTAAGATAGCCTGGAATGATGATTCCCTGGTAAATGCCAACAAACAGTGGTTGCTCATGGTTTCAAAGTGGTGCGACATGGATTTCGTCCATCCACGGTATGAGGACATTTTGATCAACTCCCATAGCTGCTTGTCCTCCACTTCAGCTTCCTTCCACTTGGTGGTTTGGAGCCAAATCGCTGGTTTGGAGGTGTTCCGCGGGTGCATTCCAGCTAAACCCTCCACTGCAGAAACCCGTTCAAATCCAAATCCAAACCACCAATCGAAACCACCAACTACGTGTTGCCTGACCATTTGCTTAAGCCCCCTCGAAAAACAATGATCGATTCCCTTAGAAAACCAAGAGAGGACCATAAAACACATTCATGTCATGTTCCATGGTGAGAACGGAACCATCCAAAAACGCCCTGACTCAAAAAGGAGGTACTTGCCACCATAGGGTCGACCATAGGGTATCCTCACAAGGCAGACCCAGCCCGGATCTTGGGAGAGGCGCCACATCGTGATCTGCAACCACTTCAGCCTCGCTGTAGCCTGTTCGAACCATGAACCCAGGCCCGCCCCCCCACTGCCCTCCCCCCCAAAAAAACAGCGAGAAAAAACAACCACAAAGCAGTAGCCCTCCAGCGCACCTCTCAAAGCAGCCTTGGCCCATGAGCCTATTGTCATGCTGGACCCTTTCAGGGCGGGTTTCTCAGAATTCAGACACACTGAACAGTGCACACCAATAAACCAGGAGCTCATACTGGTCGGCATTCATGCATAGGATCATGCTTGAAACAAAGGCATTTCACACGCGCACACACACACACACACCGAAGAAATGCAAGACTTTGTCACAGAATCAACTAAGGCCAAGCAAAGGTTGCGCGGTCAGTGGCACACTTGCTGTGGCACAAGGCAACATCCGGCCGAGGAATTGTGCAGTTAGCCAAGCTAAGAGCTGCAAGTGACTCACTTTGACACGAGGGAACTCTCTGGCAACCACACCAGAGGTAAAGATGAGGGGGTTGATCCAGAGGTCCTTTACGTGGGATGACCATTGGCTGGAAAACCACCGAAATCGATGAGATCTTTCCAAAAAAAAGAGAGGACGCGTTACCCAGGGTCATTTGGGGCCAGGAATATGGGGATCAACCCCCATAGCCTTTCACCACCCGTACTACACACGAACTACAACTTGACAGTGACCATAGGTGACTTACTCCTTAAAACTCCAAGCCCTGGGGAAGTTAATCTTTTACAGACATATAGCCCATGTTACCCAACAAGTTGAGAAAAGTTTTGTGTTTTTAAGAGGTAAGGTGACCAAAACTGGACAAATAGATGGGTGTCCCTGGTACATGGGGCATAGAACCCATCAAAACCAGTGGGACCCCAGCTATTTCTAAGCAAAGGACGCAATTGGTTGTGACATGATCTGGGTGAATTATAATATTTCGCCAGCCTGAAATAAGCTGGTTGGGGGGCTATTCCCCACATAAACCAACAGGGTGAATTCTGTCGAGTGAGGTTGTGATTCACCCAGACATGATGGCCAAGTGTAGCCCTGAAGTTGGGCTGCTGACCCCTCGGCAAAATGTGTCGCTTCTTGCGGGTCCAATGGAAAATCATCGGACAATCCTCTGTTTCCCAAGAAGTTAAAATTCAAACATCCAACCAAATAGCATAAGGTCAAGGTGATGATTGAGCTACATCACTCTGAACAGGACCGCTCGAAGCCCTTTGCTTTCCGTTGCCTCGGTATGGCGCGTCCGACTTCTGGACACTCGGCAGAAGCAAATTGATCTTCATGATGTCATGCAGGGCCTCAAATCGGTCGGCCTAGAACATCAAGGGTCCCCTTGTCCCCAAAGGAAACATCACCCCAAAGGCAAGTCACCTGGGTCTGTCTCACTGTCTCACTGCCTGTCTGTCTCTGTCTGTCTGGACCTGGGACTATGTGGGAAAAGCTGGAACCCTGGGACCGGCATGCGAGTTAAAACTAATTATATCAGTTTACAACTTCTTTCAGTATTCCAAAATATTATTTGATCTGGAATATGCCATCATTTTTTTGGTGTGCAGGTTGTTGCGACTTCAATTCCAACTCATGGCTTTGTTTTATTGCTTGGTGCAATGTATGCAGCCTGTTGCTTGGGAACGCTTAAACTGCACCCAGTAGTCGGAATTTTCTCTTGGAAACCCGGCACTCACTTTGAGTGGCCGTTGGATCCAACCCGGCATCAAAAAGTTCCAACCCAGTTGCACCCGGTGATGGTCTCAGTTGCCTCCGTCTGACCCAAAAACATATCCGGTACTCACCGTTTGGGGCCATGACTCAATTTTGCAAAATGGGAACCCAACAAGGGGAAACCAACAGGTCAGATCCGGTCAATTCGCTTTGGGCAAGCGAGAGAAGGAGGGAATCAAGTTTCGGAGGGGAACATGGTCTTCGTGGAAGTTTTTGGCAGGGCCTGCATTCTGCTGATGCGATCGCAGGCTACTTGCTAGGTGCCCGGACCCGGCTAAACATGTTGCGCCCAGCATATGGGCATGCATTTTGATTACGGTCCATTTGGTGGACATGATTTAGGTGGGGCCAACCACTTTCGAGGTCGTTCCCTATCAACATCCTCTGCCACACGCCACAAAGCAGCTAAATACAGAATGCCAATATGAAAACATCATGCAAAGCCATACAGCCATACTGTGGATGGACGAAATCCTGCACCAAGGAAACCCTGCAAGAATGGTTCCCCTGTAAATACCAGCAACCAATGGTTTCCCATGCTTTCAAAGTGGTGCATAATTTCGTCCATCCACAGTATCTATCAGCACAACATCGGTCCCTACCTGTTGCCCAGTAAACCTTGGTAGGCAACCCGATTGAAGGCGTTGGCACCCTAAGCTCGGCTTCCCCATTTGGTGGTTTGGAGCCGAATCGCTGGTTTTTTTTTGGGGTGTTCCGGGGTGGTTAAAGCCAGAAAGAACCAGGGACCCGTTTGAATCCAAATCCAAGCCACAAATCTGAATTATGGGCTTCCTCATTGGGGTTTTTGCTTTGATGGAATATTGCAGGGTCTTGCAATATTCATTTAGTTGTTTCTTTAGAAATACTGGCTGGAGTCACCGCTGCGCATTTGTTCCAAAAAAACTAGCCAGTTAAGAGGTCCTGGTCAGTCATTTTCCTGTGGAATAGAATTTCCCAAGTTTTTCAGACTCCCGTAACATAGATGGTTTCCCTTTGGTTTCCAGGCAACCCCATAAAGGTATTTTGAAAAGAAGACGTCCCTTTACCTCAAGGCCTTGAGGTAACCCCAAGAAATTGCCCCACAAAAGACCCTTGAGGCCGAGTAGTGGAGGCATCTAATAAGCGTGTGCCAGCAAGCTGCCGTCAGCACCAGGAGGGCCAGCGTTGTCTCGGGGTCAACGCGTTTTGTGCCCTGTTCCAACAGGCCTGGCATGTGACATGGCGAGAGGGCGGGCGCATGTATGCATATATATATATATGTGCATACTGTTGGGTGCTTGTGCTGTACACCTGTTCTGTCTTTGTTGTTTGTCATGTGTGGTGCTAGCAGTGGCGATGCTCTTGCGTTTGTGGTGGTGCAGTGCGCTGGTGCGGTGATCTGGCGGTGGCCGCGGTGGCGGCGGCGGTGTCAAGTGGTGTAGGGGCCCTAGGTGTCGCTTTGATCAGCACCAACACGAAAGCAGTGCCATCTAACTTGAGGCAACACAAATGCAGGGCAGTGTGTCTCTCTGTGTGTGTGTGTGTTTCCCTCTCTGTGTGTCTGTGCGTGCGTGTGTGTCCTGTGTATGTTCGCTTTTGCTATTGTGCATCATTTTCGGTCGAGCTGTGTGCTCAGGCTGCTGGTGGGAGTTTGCCGCTGCACATATGTGGTCCCTTTTTGGATCTCCACATACCTATGCGCTTTGGGATGCCAGCGTGTACCGTGTCTGACCCTATGGTCGGATCTGGGCACATGGTACTTCCGATTCCCAAAGGGAGACAAGAACATCCCCCCGGATTCGTCCGAACGGGTCAAGCCCACCCAGGACCAGCACCCCCCGGCACACCCTCACAGGACCCGTCCGTTCCTTAATGGACTCTTTGAATATCACCGAAGCAAAGCTTGTCTTTCTCAACAGCTTTGGTTGGTAGTTAGAGGGAGGCCAAAAGAGCAACCTTTCCATTTTAGAGACCTTCCAACTTTTGCGAACCACCGCCATTCTTTTGTGTTTGTTGAGAAACGGACTCCAAAAGGAGACCACCTGTTTCGGTTTCAATTCCGAAGGACACATCCGAATCCCAAACATCCAGTGACCAGCAAGGTTGGGCGGACACCTACTGGATGTTCCCTTCAAAAGTTGGATTTTTCTGGTGGGTTGCCACTTTTGGAGGTCCAAAAACCAGGTTTCAGGTATACATAACGCCAGTGTTTCTTCAGGAGTGGACATATACCCTTGCACCAAATGTTTGGAAACGGGGACCTGCTGAGGGAAGCCCATCCCAAACAACTGAAAACTGGGTAGACCACAAACCGAATGGGTAGGCCAGGCGCCTGCATCCACCATCAAATCCTGAAAGTACTTCCAAATCTCCGCATCCTCAAAGAATGCCTCAAGTGGACCGTGGCGCTCAAGAGCAGGTTGCGGCCGCTACGCTACAACTTAGCCCCTACTTCTCCCAAGCCTCAGAGCCGGTCTCCCTGCCATGAACGGAATCTCCGAACGCGCAAAAGCCCCAAGCAGCTCAACATTTGCCAGTGCTTCCAGTTGCCTACAGTAGGAAACCAACCCGTCCATGGTAAAGCCTGGAGGTAAACATGCCGAAGGCTTACCTACAGTGGCTTGCCTGGGAGTTGGCTTGATTTGGCAATCGCTTCTCGTGCAATACCCCTACACTTCGTAACTTCGCAACCCTGATTGCGACAGAGACCGCGGTGGGAACCGGGAACTGTTTTGGGGCCAGGTAACTTTTTTTTTTTCCGTGTGGAACCCACCAAGCAAAAAGCAGAAAGTGGATGTCACTGAACTCTATAAAACGGAATGGGTGCGGCTTTAGTGAAACCACTCCTCTAAAATATCCCATGGGACGATAACTGTCTTTCGTTAACTGGCCTAAATCACCAAGAACATTGCGGATGGCCATAACATTGCATCATGTATCCCCCAGCTTAACTTAATCCAAGCTCCCTGAGTGTCTTGCGGCATGCGCTCATCTTACCATACCCGCACCAAGGGGTACTAGTGAGCTTATGGCCAATTGGGAGCTTCTCAACCCTGTGGATAGCGCTTTGGTTGTTGGCATTTAAACGCGAACCGCACAAATATCAACCATTTAAGGGGTCCAACGCAAATTCCATGGTGTAAGGCTCTTTTAGTATCCCATGTTTTAAACAAACAAACAAAACACAGAGGGGCTGTTGGAAGCTTGACCAGCATGAATGCGTAAGCCGCACATCAAACGACTTGGCAAGCGACTGCATAAACAAGTAGGTGCTTTACTGAGTAAGTCGAGTAAGTGAGTAAGTGGGTAAGTATCTTTTGAAAGACAGCTAAATGCGGTCTTTACACTTCGGCCGTCACCTGCAAGCTATTTCCTTGCAATCCAGCCTATGTCCGTCTGGGAAGGTCCACACGCGCTTTGCCCCGTGGGTGTTGCTGCCCTCGAACCCCTCCCTTCCCTCCCCCTGCGTTTGCTTCCATGGTCCGAAAACAGGCCTACCCATGGTCCGAAAACACACAACAAACATGGGGGGTTGTCTAACAGGAATCGGTCCCCTCTTTCCACGCAAATGCCAACCAAACAAGGCTCACCACGTTTAGACCCCAAAATCTTTTCCCACATCGTACACAAGCAATCATATTTTCTGATCCTCCATATTTGCATGATCTACCCCAAAATTTTGCTGCCGTGTGTGTGTGTGTGCGCGTGTGCGTGTGCGTGTGGGTGTGGGTGTTGGTGTGTGTTGGTGTGTGTTGGTGTGTGTTGGTGTGTGTTGGTGTGTGTTGGTGTGTGTTGGTGTGTGTTGGTGTGTGTGTGTGTGTGTGTGTGTGTGTGTGTGTGTGTGTGTGTGTGTGTGTGTGTGTGTGTGTGTGTGTGTGTGTGTGTGTGTGTGTGTGTGTGTGTGTGTGTGTGTGTGTGTGTGTGTGTGTGTGCGTGTGCGTGTGCGTGTGCGTGTGCGTGTGCGTGTGCGTGTGCGTGTGCGTGTGCGTGTGCGTGTGCGTGTGCGTGTGCGTGCGTGCGTGCGTGCGTGCGTGGTGCGTGCGTGCGTGCGTGCGTGCGTGCGTGCGTGCGTGCGTGCGTGCGTGCGTGCGTGCGTGCGTGCGTGCGTGCGTGCGTGCGTGCGTGCGTGCGTGCGTGCGTGCGTGCGTGCGTGCGTGCGTGCGTGCGTGCGTGCGTGTGTGTGTGTGTGTGGGTGCGTGCGTGCGTGCGTGCGTGCGTGCGTGCGTGCGTGCGTGCGTGCGTGCGTGCGTGCGTGGGTGTGTGTGTGGGTGTGTGGGTGCGTGCGTGCGTGCGTGCGTGCGTGCGTGCGTGCGTGCGTGCGTGTGTGTGTGTGTGGGTGTGGGTGTGTGTGCGTGCGCGTGTGCGTGTGCGTGTGTGTTGTTTGTTTTCGTGGGTACCCATTTGCAGGCTTGGCTTTTAGGGAAACCTAGGGTAAACCATCCATCGAAAAGTTCAACTATTGGCGGGTTAATGGAAACCCGACGAACAACCTAAAACCTAAGCCTATAGTTGCTTCAGCCCCCTGGAATCAAATGAGAACATAATCGCAAAGTAAAATCGATTCCAGCTTTAAAACTGGGGAAATAGGTTGAACCGAACTTTCAGCGGGTTCCATGGGAAACTCCCACTAAACCAACTAAAAACCACTAGAAAACCTAAGCCTCCAGCTGATTCTTTTTAAATTCAGGGGAGAATAGAATCTAGCGGTTGATTCCCCACTCTTTTCAACCATCCTTCTTTTCAAGAACCGATCGCGGTTTCCTCTGGATTTTTCCGATGGTTTCCTGAAAGAAATTCGGATCCTTGGAGAGACTTCAAAAACCGATCGCTGTTTCCCCTGGATGTTTTGATGCTTTCCTGAACTGGGTGTGGCTCAAAATTACCGAGCTAGGGTTACGCAGGTTCTAGTCTTTGGTTCCATTTAGCAAGCTGCCATTTTTGGTACATGTTTTTGAGCCACAGCCAAACCAAGGATCCTTTGAAAGAATTGGGGAAGCTTCCCCAAAGACCGTCCTTCGACTGGAACGTCGAACCGGGGCGAGCGAGCCCACCGCGAGACTCGCTCCCGAGGTGCTCTGGACTTCTCGTTGAAGGCCTCCTGGGGCCTACGAATTCTTGGAGGGTCTGGGGGTTTCTCGTGTCTTGCTTTCTTGTTGTTGGAGGGTTTGGGTTTTCTGTTTTTTTTGGGGGATCTTTTTGAGGGTTTGGGCTTCTCGTTTTTTTGTTTGAGGGTTTGGGTTTCTCGTTTTTTGCTTTAGACCTATGGGTGTGGCTTAAAGAAGGGACACCCACAGGCCTGGGGCTTTTTCTGGTGGGGTTTTCCCGAAAAAAACACCCACCGAAACCAAAAAAAACTACCCACAAAAAAGGCACACCAAAATGGGCGTCTTCTTTTGAGTTGGTGACCCTGTTTTGATGATGTTCAAGGAAAAGGAACACCAGAAGGAACACCCACCACTTTGGCAAAAAAAAGGCTGCACCCACAAAAAATCGGAACCCAGCGCGGGCGAAGTTGAAAGGTCAGATCAGGTCGAGTCACTGCGGGCAAGCGAGTCAAGGATAAAGGGGGGCAACTCAAAACAGGGTTTTACCAGTACTAAAAAAACATGCCAAGAACAGTGAAGAGCTGACTTGGAGGATCCGAAGCCAGGAGTACAGCGAGTGGCTTTTGGAGCTATCCTTTCAGCAAGCCTGCGCAAAAGAGGTTGGGTTTCCTTTTGAGGTGCAATGAAAGAACCACAAGAAGGGGTGCCCTCGAAAAAAGGCGAGCCACCCACATGGTCAAACTTTCAACGTGGCGGAGGTCATGCTTCCACCAGGCGTTTACAGTGGATGGTAGCACAAAACTGAGATATTGAGCCAGAAATGAAAGGTCAACCTCTTGGGGTCATGACTAAGCATGGACCAAAAGGAGGAAACTAAAAGGTCAGATGTCGATTCGCTTTGGCCAAGGGAGCAGAACCAAAAAAGCGAACAACCTAACCCCCATGTCCCTAACCAGAACTAGCTCCTTCCCTCCTGTTTTGAGATCAAATTTGGATACTGGGTCCCGGCTCCGGCTCCTCGGCTCCCTTACCAGCTGGCAGGTTTTGGCCGAAATTCGCGCTAGGCGGGCATGGCGGGCAAGTCTGCGATCGCGTGAGCGGCTTTTTTTGCGCAAGTGCGTCCACGGGTTTCTGTGGGGCTGGGACGGGCTGCCGGGGAGGCATTTTTTGGTCTGATTGGCTTTCGGTGTGAGACCCGCAAGCGCCGGACACAAGCAGGCATACATGCACTCAAGCTAGGGTGGGTGAGTGCATGCTCAGGTGTCAGGGGGGTTGGGCAAGCAACCTTGCAGCCTCTTGCGCGCGTGGGTTTGCGCGGTCCCGCCTAAACAGAATTCTTCTTAGTGCTCCCCATCTCACCTGTCCGACCGGCCAGCGCAGCTGGTGATGGCGAAGCCCTAGGATAGGTTTAACCGTTGACCGAGCAAGTGGGGGCCAGTCCGCTGGGAACCAACACCAAAACCAAGAGGGAAGAACCACCCAGTTTGTTATGGCGTCCCGTGAGGCCTCCAAGACTCGTCCACACCGTGGCAAAAGCCGGCTTTGCCGTCCGAATCAAGTCCTTGGATGAACGCCGCGCATCGAACGTGTCCCAAATGTTCGCTCGGGGGCTCAAAATAAGCTTGTCTTGTTTGAGCTGGGTTCTCCTTTTTGTGGTTTTTTGAAGGCAAATTCAAGGGGCAACCGCCAGTTTGGGGGCTCCCCCTAATTTCAAACGCACCACCAGTTTGGGGGCCCTGCGCGCGACGAAAGGCGCCAGTCCAACCTCTTGAGCCAACTGACGGGTCCCAAAAGCCCAGCAGCCCAACAGCCCAAGAGCCAAACAACCCCAAAAGCCCAAAAGGTTCCATGTGAATTGGTGGGGGGGGGGGAGGACATATTCCACATATTCCAAATCAAGAAACACAAATGAGCTCTCATCACGCAGGATTGGATCACATTGGATGCCTTGAAAGAAGTCTTGTTGCACACCACTTGACACTGGGTCTTGTTGTCATTAAGGGCTTCGTTCCAATTTCGTACTGGGTGCCTCTCCCGTTTTTGGAATGTTCCGGGTGCCTCGAACAGGGGTCACTGGATTCTGGATTTCCTCTTCAAACGTTGCATTTTGCTGGTGGTTTTCATGGACATTGCCACTTTTGAAGGTTCCAAAAGGGATATGGAGGAAACCCTGTCCAACTGGTGGCTTGGATTGGAGGTGGGTTGGTGGTTTCCCATTTACCCTCTAAGAAGGGGGTTCAGACCAAACCGCGAAGACAAACTACCAATTTTACGGCAACCTGAAACCAAGCGCAAACGTCCCATGCGGTTTTTGCTAAAACCGACGTCCCCGCCTTAGGGGTCTGTGGTGTTGGAGGCTTCCCGTTCTGCTACCTCGTAACCAAACAGTCCTATTCCAGTCACAGCGAATATTTGCTCGCAGGGGGGAAACCGAACACCAGAACTGGGATCGTGTCCATGCCACGGACCTATTTCTTCTCCCCTCCACGGACCGGGGGGGGGGGGGTCCGGGTTGGTGTTTTCCCGGGCACCATCACATCACCGGATTGTTGGAGATAAATCATATGATCACTTTTGACATGTAGGGGTAGCAGGAGGGGGGTTCAGGAGGGGGGTTGGTGTTTTCCTTGGCAGCATCACGTGCTTGTTTGAGATAAATCCTACAAGCAGATTGCATTCAACAAGGGATGCCATTGAAGACGCTGCGATCTTGGAGCTGAGCTGTCAAAACGTGGGGCAGCAGGCTGATCGAAGACGTTTTTCGCTCTGAGAACTTGTTCTGGAGATTGCTTGTTTGACGTGGCTCTGCCAATGCAAACTCATTCTCGGTTCCGAAAGCAGGGTTCTGTAATCCACCCGCACGGTTGTTTTGAGGATACCAGTCTCAAGTTGGTTTTAAAGGGGCAGCTGCAGCTCCCATCTCTGTCCAGAGCTTGTTGTTGTTCGTGTTTGTCAGCATGTCCGGCTTTGGTTAAGATGGGAATGCTGGACAAATGTCCAAGGCAGATTTGCCCACAACACATGAAGCCTCCGTGTTGTGGGATTCTAAAGCTCTGTTTGGTCGGTAGTGGACAGCTGTGACCTCAAAAGTGTGCGACATGCGCAAATAAAAGATCAGATCAGGTCGTTGCAGAAACCTTTAGATTTTGAGACACCTTTAGACCGGCGATGGTATTCAGTAGTGCAACGTTACTCTCAGTTGCCCAAAGGACCCAGAACTAAAAGGTTAACCTTTTGGCACCTCTACTAAAAATGCGTGCCAAAATGGGAAAACTAAAAGGTCAGATCCGGTCGATTCGCTTTGGACAACTGAGTACTCGGACAAGGCCTAGCCCGACCAAAGTTAGATCCATTGCCCCCCCGGGACCTCAAAACCCTCCGGTGAGAAACTTACAGAACTCCCATCGGTAGCTCCAGCCTCGGCTCCCTAGGCCCTATTCAATAGAAAGAAATAGGATACCGCCAGCTCCTCCGGCCTTCCCTTGGTTGACGTTGGAAGGGGAGTTCACAAATTAAATTTTAGCAGTTAAGCGGAGATTTCCCACTAAACCACAATAAGCAAAAATGTTAAAACCAAAAAAAAACGGGGGAAAAACATGTTTCCCAACAACAACCATGTCCCAACCACCAGCACCCTCCAGATTCCAACCTGTTTTTGTCGCCCAGGGGGCGTGTGAGCCAATAAATGGCGAAGAAAGCCCCAATGGTTCGCTGGAACTCATCCGCGGCTGCGCGTCCCCCAGCCGCATGAGCCTGCCGCGCCGTCGACGAAATCGAAGAAATACATGGGAGAGTCTCTGTCAGTTGCCTACAGGATCTGGAAATAGGGTGATCCCCTTTTGGCAATGGTGACTAAGTATGGACCAACAAGGGAAAACTGAAAGGTAACCAAGCGAGGTCTTTTTCGCCTTGGTTTCTCTCCGAAATGCGACATCCTCCTAACATCCAAAAGAACATGATTCGAGCTGAATGGCAGTTTAAGTGGAAAAACTATTGGCCCAACTCTGGGGTAGACAAAGCATCATGTTTCCGGATTCTGATCCATACTTCGACCCTGAAATTCCCCCCACAGGCGTGGTCTGGAGCAGCGAGGTCGGGTTCCAAAGGGTTGTGGAAGGTTCCACGGAGCAGTTGGTTGCCGGTGGGAGGTAGTAAAATTTTGACACACGAGAAGAGGAGGGTTGGGCCGAACTTATACCAAATAAAACCGGGAACCGGGCCGGAACCCTCCCCGAAAGCCGAACGCATCACCCCGAAGTCTATTCGGGCACCCTGCAGCTTTCTGTCAGTTCCGTTAACAGGGGGCCCCAGTTTCTCACTTCCTGAGTGGATTGGTCAAAAAGACAAACTTGCTACTTACGACCAACAAGGTCTTCCCCAACACTTCAAAGTCCAGGAACTCAGAAAGTGAGGCTTCATGGGGTCTGAGGCATCCCCCCGCAGATTTGTTCTCGAATCTCAGTCGATTCGTCGACCCCACTCCCCGCACCTCTTCGATCGATACACCGATCCTTAGGGGCGATCTGGACCCACCACACCCCCGCCCCCCAAAGGGTGTTCAACCAACGCCAGGTAAGTAGGTTATAGCCATGGTTCTTGCTGGGGCATGTGGAGTAAATAACCACCAAGTATCTTGCATTCCCCCCCCCCCCAGAGTGGTCTCCTGTTTCGCTTGCCTTTAAAAAGCACGAGCGACATAATATACTTGCTGTCTGAATCCGCAGAAAACTAGTGGGATCCCTCAGCACATTTGCATGTGAACCAACCACATGCAACCACAAGACCCTGGAAAACGTCACGGATTGACGGAGTCTTGTCGTCGCTGTGAGAAACAACAGTTGCCCCAAATCTCGGGTACACAAAACATATGGCTGTGGCTCAAAAAACCAGCCAAAATGGCTTGCCCTGGTTTTTTTGAAACATGGACCAAAACCCGCAGGTTTGCCCCTCCGATCGTTTAATTTTGAGCCACATAGAACATATCTTCTTCTCGGATTCTGGCAGACCCAGAACCCTTTGGAGTTCGGGGATTTGAACCACCCCATTACCTCCCAAGCCTTGGGGCTGACCAAAAACAGTCTGAAGCTGACCTCCACTTGCTTAAGTTCCCTGGAGAAAAAGAGAGGCAATAGTGATAATTCCCGTTGAAAGCCAACAGGGGAAATACATATAATAAAACATACCCCCTACCCCAAACACCCTCTTGTTTCAGGGTATCATGTCGACCCTCTACTAAAAAAAGCAGGTATTTACCATGGAAACCCAACTTTTCCCACAAAAAATACCAACCAGAGAAAGGCCGGGTATTTGGAGTAGGGGGTAGTTGGCCGCCGTCGAATTCTTTGCCCAGGCGTCCCCCTGAGGCCGAACAAATGGAGCTCCGGAAAGGCGGCCAACAGGTCCTGCGAGATCGCGGCCGCACCATCGGTAAGCCGCAAAAGAGGGCCCCCAACTCCAGAAATCTTCCGTTGATCTTCCAGAAAAAGGGGGAAATCCATGAGAATCCATTTATCTTCCATTTATCTTCCAGAGGGCCGGTTCAATAAACGGGAAAATGGGACCAGGCATGGATTTCAGCGTCACCCTCCTCCCCCAATTCTATTTTTAAGGGGGTGGGGATCTAATGAGAAACTGAGAAAGGTTGGCTACGGGGTGCCAAAAGCCCATTTCAGGCTTCAGCAAGCAAACTTGCCACGGCCTTCACTAAGAACAAGGTTGATTGGGGAGGGGATTCTGATCCTGAAACAACTCCAGTCCTTTGAAGGGATGTTCCTGTCCCCAGTTTTTCGAGGACTTACTCTGTCCACCTTGCCATGGAACCTTACTTTTCGGGTGTGGTTTGGACCATGTTCCTCAGGACAATGTATCTGGTAAGTTCCGTGTTATTGGACAGGAGGGTACATCTTTCCTTTGTCTCAAACTCGGGGCATGCCCACAAAATGGAATGGCTGTTTGCTTTTGGCTTCCCGGAGAAAAAACGACCCCAACATGAAGTTCCCTAAGAACAGACCCACACACACACACACACGTTTTGTCAAAATTGAGGGACCCCCAAAAAGCACAGGTGGTTTGCCTGGGGTTTGCCTTTGAATACCAACCAGTAGTAATTCCACGTCAAGGGCAAAGATACCCAAGATTTACCAAATGTCGGTCGGGAGGACTCCGCCCGTGATGTGAAACTCTGTCCTGGTAGTACTGACCCAGCGAGTAGTCTGGCTTAGCAATGTCCCTGGCGATCGCCTGCAAAATGACACATTGTGGTTGCGTGGCCTGTTAAACGGGTTCTAACGACAGCGGGTTGTCTTTTACTCGAGGGCACCCAAAAAAGATTTGTGGCTTTCCGATAAACCGCAAAAAGGGGTACCCTCAAAAACAGGCACCCAAGTTGGTGCCAGGATGCCGGCGGTGTGCAAGATGGAACCTGTTCAAGAGAACCTTGTCAGCGCCCCTTGACACATCACGACAGTTCATAAATTACCAAGTAAAGGACCTTCACGGGTAAGCGTGTCTTACCCCCAGAGATCGTCACAATTTGTCTCACTAAATAGCTCACGCCCTGGAATCCACGAAAGCACCCCCAAAAAAACGCAAAAAAAAAAAGACCTGGGGGCCGCTTTTTGTGGGTCCAATGGGAAATTCTGCTGTTTCCCACGAACTTAAAGTCCAAAAACCCAACCCAAATCGCCAAAAAGGATCCCTACTCCGAATACCCGGCCTTTTTCTGGGGTATTTTTGGGAAAACCGATCGGGTTTCCATGGTTAAGACCTCCCTTTTTTAGTAGGGGGTCGACATGATACCCTGGAAAAAGAGGGTATTTGGGTGCTAGGGGGTATATTGGACACGCAACATGAGGAAGGTTTGTGAGTACGGCTGTGCTCTTTTGACAGTCCCTTGCAAGATCAAAATGCGAGGCGCCATTGAAGACATCGCCCAAATATCAGCTGACTTCGAGGATGCCCCTGTAACCTTCAGGTTTTGGGCTGCTTCCTTCAAGGAGCTCCTGGTTAAGATCACCTGATCGGAAAGAACAAATGGCTTCCCTGAAAAAAAGCGCAGTTGATTCCTGTAGCTCACTTGCTCCCTAGGGACTTGGAAGTAGAAGCTGATCATTTTTTGGAGCCTTGACAAACTATTGCGGATGGTTGCGACATCCATGTCGCACCACGAGATGAAACCAAGGCAATGAAATCATAACGTTCCTTGATGCTCATGTTTAGCTTGGGAGAGTCGAAAATCATTCCGTGGGGTTTCTGACCGGTGCCTAGGACACGGATGTCTTTGCAACCTCTCGCATGCACCTCAGGGAAACCCTTCAAGGTTAGATCCGGGCCATACGCTGTGAGACAAGGTATCCATCTCCATTTCCATTTTTGCCCCCTGGACAAAAAGGGAGAACATACCGTGGATGGACGAAATCCGTTCGCACCACCTAAGCAACCATGATTGACACCATTGTTTGGAGTTTACAGGAGAATCAACATTTCAGGGTTTCTGCGGTGGTGCAGGATTTCGTTGATCCACAGTATGTCCAGTAGCCAACTTTAAGACCAACCAGTTGGACAATAGCAAACATCTGCCCAGCAGCGAAATCGATTCCAACTTGACAACCAACAAGTTGGAGAATGACTCAGTCGCCCAAAGGACCTGGAACTAAAAGGTTAACCTTTTGGGACCTCTACTAAAAATAGACCAAAATTGGAAAACCAAAAGGTCAAAAGGTCGGCTTTGAACAACTGAGAACAAGTTGGAGAATGAACAACACAGTCCTTTCAACTGGAAGGGTTTCTTCAAAGAGAAGGATCTTTTTTTCCAGTTCCCATCCCACATGCATGCTTGGAACCAGGGGACATATCAAACATACTCATGTCAACGCAAATGGACGTTTCTAGTGGTTTGAAATGGACATTACCACTCAACCAACCCCAAAAAAAAACACTCAAAGCCGAAGTTGAATGGCTGGGTTCCCACCAAAACGCAGATGAAAGCTATCTACAGGCCCCACCGCTCCACTGGGCGCCTTGGTCTGACAGGAATTGCAACCCGATTCGATGCATCCCGATGCGCCTGGGCGCGTTCCAAGTCCATCTTCTTGCCTGCGAGGACTGCCTGATCCGAGCCAGGCTCGCACATGTGGGTCAATAAAACAAACACTTTTGCCGGCTGTTTCAGACGCTTTGGTCATGAAGCAGGTTGTTTTTGGTTGCATCCTCAAGGGGAAGCGGAGCTGTTTTGACTGAGCCCGGTTGCTGCTTGGTTTATTGCTTGCTTGATTGTTTGCTTGCTCCCCCAATGCTGCGGGAGAAACAAATCGGGGTCATTCCACTAGGTTCTTTTTTGGTCAAAATCCGGGGACCTAATCACAACAGGTGGTTGTGCTTTGGTCTCCCTTTATAAATGCAAACCAATCAAGGGGTCCCCTAGTTTTGAGAAACAACACCAACTCAACACACTCCCACCAACATGGACGGGCACAAACCCCTGTCAGCAAGACTAGTGACCGCTCTCCGCTCGGAAAGGAGGCTTGTGCACTTCTATGCTAGTTGGTGGGAGGGCATGTCTGCTTCTCTCTCTCTCTCTCTCAACTTTGGGACCTAACCACAACAACATCTGGTTTTGCTTTAGTATCCCTTTGAACGGTTTTTCTCTCAAACACCCGGGACCCCCCAACAACAACAAGCAGCGTTCCTTTGGTTGCCCTTCCCCCCCCCCCTCCCCCCACAAAAAGAAGAAGGGAAACAACTACAAAAACACGTGGTTTCCTTTGGCCTCCCTTTTTGAATACCATCCAATCAAAGCGTCCCCTATGTTTGAGAAACGACCACTACCCCCACCCCCGCCCCACTCAGGCCTTGACAGGAGGCTATCTTGACAGCACAAACCCTCAACACACACACACACACACACATGCACAACACACGCGGCAAGCAAGCTGCAAGTGTCCAGCACAGACCCTCTGATTTAGAGCGTCAGTATTAACAAATATATACCCTTCCATAATCCCCACTCTCCATCGTAGTCCTTCCAACCCTCCCCACCCTCCCAACACGCCCAACGCACACCGTCCTCCAGCAAAGGGCTCGGACTCCCGGGAACGGCTTCGCTCATCTGGCCGGAGAGGCTTCGCTTGGTCGAAGCAAGCTCATCCCTAAAACTACTCCCCTGCAGTTTGACGGGGACCCCCAAAATCCACCATTTTGGAGCGGAATCTTTTCTAGCGTCCAATGTTCATTTCTAGGGGAGGTCAATTCTTTGGTTACTTCTCTTTTGGCACCACAAAGGGAAACTGGGACTTGGATACATAAAGCCGGCTTTACGTTGGAGAAACCTCCAGCTCTCGCAGCTTGGTGACTCTTGAACTGGCCCCAATGCATCCAAAGCTATCATTCATCCTGGGTTTACCAGCCGCGATTTTCTGCACACCAGGGGATCAAGGGAGAACCATGGGCATTGCAGGTTCCCTTGAGGTCCGCGATGGATGCGGTTTCTTTTCAGACTGACATGGGGGGCCAAACCAAAAAAAACAACCTCCTGTAGATGAATCTCCAAAACGGGATATGGGGCCATCTATCCTCCATCTGTTCTCCATGACATGACAAAGGATTGGGAATGGGAGAACAGAGAGAATAGATAGACACAAGAGCTTCTCTCATAGCCACGTCATCCTTTCCCCGCTCTCTTTGGTCGCTGTGGAAGGACTTGAATGAAGTGACTCCTCCAAATTCATTATCCTAAAAGCATTCTATCTCCTACAAATTAACTCCAATGGCAAGCCTTTAACCTAAGGACTCATCCAAATACACAGATTAATAGCAAATAAAAGAGAAAGAAATAGATAGGAAAGAAAAGGAAAAGCATTCTCATAAAGACAACTTACGACATCTCCCTCGATTTCCAGGATTATTTGTTACCTTTAGGATTCTCTCCGTCAATGATAGGGAGGAGACGGAGAAAGAGAATCCTGTGTCACTTCCTTAGGTGGCCTGCTGCAAATGGCTTTCCCGGGCCCCGCGGAATGGATTCTTGTTGCCCGGCCCTTTTCGGCCGAAGGGCCACGCGCCAATCCTTGTCACCCGAAGAACTGCTTGACCCAAAATTCGAGTGCCTTCCCCATTCTTTCCAGGGATCCTTCTTGCTAGAAAGCCTCCGGAAACTCAGAGAAACGGCCGGTTTTCCGACGAAAAAACAAAGAAGGGTTGGAAAGAATGGGGAATCAACCCTTAGACAAATAACGAAAACAATAACCGCCCAAGTCAGAACCAAGATGCACTTCTCAGAACAGAACAACAACGCGATTTTGCGATGCCGAAGCTGGCGACAACGCATATCATAGTTGGTGTCCAAACATTGGGGACCTTGGTTCAAATCGAAGGGAAAACCAGAAAAATCAGCCAGCTTTGCTACCTCTGCAGCTTTACCTCGTTTTCTGGCCATCGAGACCTTGGCTTTGGGCAAGAAGCATCTCACCAGCAGTGTGTTGTGTTCCTAGGTCCTCCAGATTTGAGAGGTTAGAATAAGTCGGTACCCTATTTTTTCTCTGTAGTCAGTTTTTGCAGGGGAGCCCTTCCCCCAAAAAAGAACCCGTAAAAGGGCACCTAGCTGGTGGAGCTAGGCTAGGTGCCTGGACACTCCCAACAAGAAAAAAAGGCGGGCGGTGTTTCCCCGGCCTCCAGCGACACCGAGACTCCCGGAACCCGGCCTGGCGAGCATCCGGGGATGTTTCCGCGGCGGATGCTGTGGGACACGCGGATTTCTGGATGGACGAGATCTATCTCCGCACCACCGCTCAGAATTTTTATGGGGAGCTTTCCCCGGCAAATACCCAACAAATAGTTTCAACCACGGTTTGTCTCAATTTGGGCTTCCGCGACGGAATTCTTGCCAAACGGCGGTGTCTACCATAAGACAGGGTCAAGGGATGGGCTCGGGAAGGGACAACACACACCAAATGTCGCGCATGGTTTGGTGCTTGTTTTAAGGCTCGAAGCGCCAATGCAACAGTGCCTTTGTATCGCTTCATGGCCCAGTGACTCTGTTTACCTAGTGTGCAAGCAAGGGAGCCACCCTCATCCAGAAGGAAGATAGCCTACTGTCTCTCCCACAAACATGGGGTACCTGGAAGATCAATTTCCTCTTGCAGGGACCCCCTTTCAGGTGCAATCACGCCACCGTGCAGTGCAACTTCCCCAAACTCCGCAGATCCCCCAGCAGTGCCCTTTTACCCCTTTTTTGGGGGTGGGTTCCCTACCAAAATAGAGTACAAACAAAAAGTTGGTACCCCAAAACCCCACCCCTCCTGCAGCCGTGGAACCCGTAGAACCCGAACCTGCGAACCCCCCGCCTGCCATCTGCTCAGATTGAACGATCACCTCCTCTGCGCTGGAGCTGCATGGCAGCGCCTCGTTCCGAGCGAGCGAGCGAGCCCGCTCGCGCCGAAATCCGCGCCGCGCGGGCCATGAGAGGGCTGGAGTTGAGGTCGGGGCCATCCAATCAAAGGAGTTGATCCATTTCACGGTTGCACTGGAAACGATCGAGCACCGCTGTTGAAGGTTCCAAGGGACATGAAAGAAACCGCTCAATTCTGGACATCTGCCCTACAGTCCGCCAAATCGGACGAGTGAACATCCGATGGTTGACCAAGGGCCCACGAACAAATCTTCAGGTCTGAGTTCCTTTTCCAAGCTACAGCGACTCCAAAAACATGAAGTACGTAATCCAAGTGAGTGACAATCAAAACCTGGTATTAGAATGGTCTACCCAAAACTATGCAAAGACTTAGAAAGGCGGATGAGTGGCAGGAACTATCCCTTGCTAACCTTCACCTACCCGGGTTTTGATTGTGGCTCAAGAGGACCTACATCATCTTGAGCTCGTCCGAATCGCTCGCCATAAACGAGGAAAGGGAGTGAATTCCGCAAACCCAGAGGCTCCCGATTCATGGGCCCTCAAAGTGCCAGGTTTTGAGACCCCCAAACACTTCTGTCAATGGAGGGGTCGGGTCCATTCGAAGCCCCAAGAGCCCCTGAAAAGTGCGAATGCCCCGAAATGGTGGCATTGGAGCCCTGGACTGTTTAGCTACCCCAAGAGGACACAGAAGACTTGGGTGTGGGTTTGGGGTGGGCCCCCATGTCCCCAAAATAAAAACAAGACTGCCTAGTAACGTTTCCAGTTGCTCATGTGCACAATGGTTGTAGATTAATTGGTTTTGAGGCTCCCCAAATGCGGCAAGAAAGGGAGAATCGTCCAAACCAGGACCCCTGCAAGGTTCCATGTTTGTGGATGCGAGTGGGAAATTATCATCCTTTCGTGCTTTTCCCCCATGGTCATCACATGTAAAGGACCTTTTGATCAACCCCGAAACGACCGCGTTTTGTGGTCTTTGGAGCATACCAGTGGGTCCTAAAAAATACACACCAGTGTTGTGGATTCTGGTCCATGTGTGTGTGTGTGGATTCTGGTCCATGTGTGTGTGTGTGTGTGTGTGTGTTTCTGACCTTCTCGGGTTGCTTTTCGAAACGACAAAGGACACCTGCGACTTTTTTACGGGTGGCCCCTACTTTGACGGCCATTTAGGGAGCCCTTCAAATGTGAACTCATGTCAAACGAGATCCCAGACTGGATCGACCTGGTCCAAACTCCCAAACGGGCATGTCTCAAGACAGAGACGGACCTTTCCGGATGGCTTGAAATGGCAAAAGGACACCAAGTAAGGTCGACCCCTGATTAATATCCCACCCAGTTATGAAGCGGGGGGGGGGGCCCTTTTAGTGGGGAATTCTTTCTTTCAGGGGGACCCCCCATGACCAAGAATGGGGGTTTACTAATCAGGGCGTTGGAGTTCTGACCATGCTGGTGAGGGCAGGCCGATTTTCCTAGGCCCGAAAACCCCTGACCCCAGCTAGATGACAAAGCGCCTTGGCTAAACCATGGTGCGCCATTCCGGTCGCCGTGCTTCTTTTTTCGCTCTTTGAAAAAAAAAAAAAACGGAAACTAATGCTGCGCCAATGCTGCATGTTTTGTATTTTTTTGGGTCGTGGTGACACGCACCTTCCCCCCCCTCCCCCAGGTTCTGAGCGCCCCGATCTTCGATTCGATCTTTGCCAGGGCACGCTTGTAAGGACTGCCGCGCAGGCGCCCATGGCTCATCGGAAGTGGATCCGAAGAATCCGAAGGGCTTGCTGAGCTGGGAAGCTGAAGGAAAAGACCAGTGACACGCCCTTCACAGCCAGTGCTGCACAAACATTTGGATGGACAAACTCGACGGGATCGAGCATGGGCTGCGGGCAAAGGGCCGGGCAGGAGTCATGAGTCTACCTCATCCTCTTTTAAAAGCTGGCTTCAGCACAAGGACGCCCACACTTTCATTCCCCCCGATGTGCTTTTTGACTTTCAATGCAAGCTGAGTCATAATCAACACCCGGTACAGACATGGTGCACCCAAACGAATGCGCGGATATCCGCAGCTATTTATGGTTGGGATCGGCCCTTACTCACCTTCTGCCCGAATCGGTCTTGAGGACGCTCAGCAGAACCCATGTCCCTCACCCGATCGGCTTCTGAACGGCCGGAAGCGCTTCCTGTCAGCTGACCATTGGCCTCATGCTCAAAAAACCGGTACCAAAATGGCTTGCCCCGGTAAGTGGAAACATGGACCAAGACCTGCGGTTTGCCCCTCCGATCGTTTAATTTTGAGCCAGACCCACATGTTTGATTTTTGGTCCACGTTTCCTTCAAACATGGCATGATTGGGAAGAGGGAAAGAGCATGTTTAGTTTTCGCGCCTTGCCGCACGATTTATCGAGGGAACTCCCCGAAATTGGTCTCGCCCTGCCAAACTGCTTGGCGTCTCCAAAGGCTCAACTCTCCAACCGGCGTGGTGAAGCAAACGTGGCTGTCGGACAGAAAATTGCCCATGGAACCAGGCCCCCCACCTGTGACAGGTCCACCTTTTCGAGTTGCCATGACTGCAGATTCTCGAACAAACGCCACGACTTGGGGCTTGGCTTCGTTCAAAGCTGCCGCTAACTGGGGCTGCTGAAAGAAAAGAATCCTTCGGCCCCAGGCCACCTTTCTGAAATCCGCTCGGGATGAATCTCAGGCACCGAAACTTCCAAGCACCGAAACTTTGACGAACTGGTGCGCCCTGGAATCAGACTCGAAACGGGAAAAAGGTTGGGTGAGCCACATGATCAAAAAGCTCAGATTCGGTCGATTCGCTTTGGGCAGGTGAGCAACCACTCACTTCTGAAGAAACGCACCCCCTCTCGCAGGGGCAAACCTTGACTGAGCTCCGCGCAAGGAATGAATGGGTCGCACCTGGGGACCCAAAGCGCGGGCCAACAACTGACTGTTGGTTACAGCCCACAAACCCAACAATGCACAGAACCAAACAACCGAACAACTCAAACCAAGTTGATTCAACAGTGAAGTTCCTCTCCCCCAGACTAACAGCCGGAAACTCCCAGGACCCCGAAATGGAAGACTTGGTAAGTGGGGGAGCTTCCGGCTGATAGTCTGGTTTTGACCGCTCCGCACCGCACCATTCTCACTGGGATCGATCCACCGGTGGCTTCTGAAGGAGCCATAGTGTTAGACCTCCTTGTCTAATACGGTGGATGGACGAAATCCATTTCGCACCACCTAAGAAATCATGAGACACCATTGTTTGTTTGTATTTACAGGGGAATCAACATTTCAGGGTTTCTTAGGTGGTGCAGGATTTCGTTCATCCACAGTACGACCCCCGGAAAAGAAAAGGAGAAAACATGCCCAGTAGTGATCGATTCCAGGTAAAAAAACCTAACCGGAAGCTCTTGTTAACCAAATGGAAGTATTCATTTCGGAAGCGTCGACCCCCAAATAAATCAACCTGACGGCTTATTGTTTGGGGATCTTTTCCCGCAGAAAATGACTGATGGCCTTCTCAAGTTTTGGCATCTCCTATTAAACACATATCAACGGGCTCAAAAACGCACGCAAAGCAATCTGCCACCAGGATTTCCAGGCTTGATTTCTCTTCCAGCTTGAGCCGCCACCAAAGCACGACACATTTACTGTCTCCCTTGCCTTAATGGTGGAGCCTCTTCTCGGTTGCCCTATCTGGGTCCCGACCCACGGCCATGACTAATCATGGGAACCCAAAAAACGGTCGATTTGCTTTGGGCAAGTAAATCTCTTCTTATCTAAGGGTTTTTGTACTACACCCTGGAAATAGACCCTTGGGTATTGACCCTATGTAGGCACATTTCCGGATAACACCGTGTTATTTTGAACCATTCTGGGTTATTTCCCAAGGGTGTAATCCCAGGGTGTAATACAAAACACTCAGATCTTAGCTGCTGATTCAAGCCTTGCATTTGCCTATGCAGAGCAAAAAACACATCCACCCGCGGAAACATCCATCTTTTCAAGGGTAAAAGGGACCGGGTCTCTAATTTGGAGAACTGCTCATTTGGGTTTGTCTCCAAATAAAGGACCCACAAAATTGGTGTGTTCTGTTTTGTTCCGGTTTGAACCACGCCAAAAATGGTACCATCCAAAAAGCCACACCCATTTCTTCTGACCACGCCCAGTAGTATTGATTGGTGCTTGCTTTCCAGGACATTTCCATGCAGATCTTTCTGCCTCCCACTAACTGACACAGCACCTGCGAGAAGATGCATGGAAAACCACTCGAGCACCCAGGGTCCCAAGATGTAGAGAGCTGCCTGATTTGTATGGCGGCAAAGTTCGTGGCACATCTGCACAAACCAGCGTGCGCACGACTACAGTGGCCCCCCCACAGTTTAGAAGCACTGCAGGCCATCCTGCTGTATAACCCCCGCACCATCAAACAGCAGCATGTTCTTAACTCGCAGTGCTTTCGCCCGAGGCGGTGAAACCTGGTGAGACTCGCCCAAGGGGCCATAGGCGCATTATGGTTCTCCCCGGTGTAAGCTGTTTCGGGCTTGAAATAACCCCCGAAGCAAGAGAAGGTACATCCTCATCCAGAACGCGGGTCAAAGAGCGCCTGCGTGTCAGTCTTGCAGTTGGGATGTTTGCACATGTTGGACGAAAACTAACTCAAAAGTTGGCAGACCATCATCTTGTGAAGTAGAAGTACAGTTTCCCTTGTCGTAACGCAGCACACAAGTCTGGATGGGGGCTTATACAAGCTCGCGCTTGACTATTGACAAGAGCAAGCCATGGCCATGTGTGCAAACACAGCCGGCTTTGTCTCCCCATTTGGGCTGCACCGAAACAGGGTCTATGTTCCCTTTAGTTTCCCTTATTTTTGTTTTACCCCGAAAGCCTGCCGAAAAGTGACCCTGGTAAAATATATCGAGATCTCGCCATCCCAACAAAAATGACATCGAAAAGCAGGGCTGAATCTTGTATGTGTGTTCCAATTTCCTGGTGAAAAACCAGCTCAGTTGCCCAAAGGACCCGGTGAGACAAGGTCAAGCTTTTGGTAAGACAAAACTAAGCCACCCATGTAGCAGTTTTAATACAACGAGCTCATGGTCCTATTCGCCCATGACCCTCTTGCGCGGAATTCGGTCACCTCTGCCCGCCCTTTGGGCGGGCAGGCAAATCCAGCTTAAAGGCCGCAAAGGTGTCACGGGTACATTCCTCCCATGGCTGAGTTCTTGAATTTTAGCCTACCTCGAATTGGTGGCTTGAAGGTGTTCCCGAGTTTCTCATTTACCCTGTGCAAGAACCAGGGGTTCAATTCTCTTCGCCAATCCGAGCCACAAATCAAGGCTTGCTTGGGAATCCACGCAGCTGGGCACATAAACAAATACCTCCCATGACACACCCCGCGCATTCGCCGCCAGCGCCTTTTGCCGTCATAGGGGCGAGCTGTCAACGCGCGACAGCCTGGCAAAGGAGTCATAATGAACAAAGGGCAAAAAAGACTAGCCGAACTAGGTGCCAAACAATATGGGGTCTGGCATCCCTTTAAACAAACATATCCCTTTTGGGCTTCCTTTTAGGAAATTCAAACGCTACAGGTCACGTATAGTCAAACCATGTCTGGCTCAAACGAATTCAACATGACCATTGGAGAGCTGCAGGTGTTTAGGGGCAATGAGGCAAAGAACAACCACTGCCCTGCTGCTCTGTTTGCGTGCCTTTGCCTAAACTCCTATGCCCGTGCCCAATGGAAAGGAAGAAGACAAAGAGAGGGAGGCAGCTGCCAATCAATCCACCCTGAGCCGGCATGTAAAGGTGGGTCCAGCCTCCAGTGATCCCCCGTACCTTAAGGCGGGGCGGGGTGGGGGGTCCACCAATTACATTTTTCTAGTCTTCCTCGGAAAAGGAAAAATGGAGCCATAAAATGGAATCGCTCCCGAAATTCCAAGATTCCTCACAACTTTTGAAGAATTGGCAATACCACCTCTCACCAAATCATTACAAATGCAGAAGCAATGAGTTTTCTCACGATTAAGTTGAGAATTCCTAGCAACCGACCCAGATGCATGAGCAAGGTCGAGCCATGAGAGTAACGGGCATGCATCATCCACATCAAGCAAGAACTTCCTGGCGAGTGTTTTGGGGTGGTCTGAAGGGAAGCCAAAAGGAAACCACAAATTTGGAGGTTCTCCCAGTAAGCAACAACATCACACGGCAATTCTCAGAATACGCATTTCATCCTTTGCTTTGCCTCCTTGCGGGAACGAATAAAAAACACATCTCTGTCGCACCTGTCGCACCGTGCGCTTGCGCCAACTTGATTGGAATCTGCCTGCTGCACTGTTCGACCAAACGCAGCGTTGGAGACGCGGGCACAACTCTTCTAACCAACCCCTTGATCAAATTCCCTGCGGAACCGCCACCCAGGGCCTGTCGAGGCTGTCCTCACCTGGCGAAATCTCGAGATCTGCGCATTTCGCCAACCGGAGATCAGGAACTTCAGGTCATCTGGCTATACCTTGTGGCTTGCTAGCATGCAATAGTCAGGAAAGCAAAGACATACTTCTGGACTTGAGGGATCCAATCATATATCCTTGGAGCCCTTTTGTCCAAAAGGATGTGCAATTCCCTGACTCTTGGGGTCAAAGGCAAGGTTTGGTTGGAAGCATCTAAAATGGCATCTCCCACAGATGGTTGACACATGGCCAAGAGAAATCGCCAAAGTGCCTGAAGGAATTGTTTTGCGCTGGGCAAAGAAGGATTTCAAGTATTTCTCAGAATAATGCTGACGCTGACCCCTGTTTGGTAAACTCCCCACTTGTTCGAATGGATTTTTTAGGGGGGCGTGGGGAGTCAATATGATTCACTAGCACCCAAAGAAAGTGGTGCGTCCTTTCTTCCATGCTGACGGGGACCCCTTTCATTAATCAGGGGTCAACATTAAACTCAGAGATCGAGAAAGGGGGCTAGAAGCTCTTCGGGCCAAGCTGAAAGTGCTCTCTCCTTCCCAATAGATCAAGCGCCCTACCCCATGCGAATTTCTGACTCAAGCAGCGAATTTCTCAAGTCCAGATTCGCCTTCGATTCTGTGTTTGGTTTGGCCACTAAAAATGGTCAAGCAACCCCAAACAATCCATGTAGTTTATTTACGCCACATCTACCATAAAAATGGGTCAAATGCTGGTCTATATATATATATATATATGTATATTACCTACATGGATTCTGGAAACGGGGCTCAAACTTCTTCTACCTTCTGAGAAAGACCTTGTTTTGTATGCCTGGCCTGTGGCCGAACCTTCTCTCGGGAGGGGCCGGGGCAACTCAGGTTCCGGGCGAAACAACCTAGACGTATAGCATGATAAAGGGGTCTGCATCACATGAGACAGGGGGGCCTTTCGGATGTTGAGGGCCTACACTGAACCGGGTGCATTCATTCGCACAGTCAAACCCAGCGTGCCTTGCCTTTTAGACCTTAGCCTCAGCATTTTGTGTTTCGGGCTCATTTTGATGCCAGGCTGCAAGCCAAAAGGTCAACGTAACTAGGTGCTCAAGTAGAGAGGTGGGAATAAGGGTACCTTTTTTCAGGACGTCCCAAATTAGAAACGGTAAAAGGGCGCCTAGCTGGGGGACCCAGGTAAACAAACAGGTTTGGACAAACAAACAAGTTCCTGAGTCAAACTCAAAGGTGTGAGGCACCCTCTTTCCAACAATCATAGAAGTGGACAGGGGGTCTAGGAAGGTAGTCTTCCAAAACCCCCCGATCGTCAGCTTCCCAGGTTTCTTGGCGGGAGAGGACGGCTCACAATCATAAGGTTGTTTTTTTGTTTTGAATGAACTCTACCCAAATCCATGTACCCTCCCACCAATTAACATGGAACCTGACAGGGGGCCTGGAACACCGTTTCCTTTTAAAGGGACCGGCTCCCGAATGTCAGGTTCCATGTTAAGTAGTGGGAGGGGAGGTCTATCCAAAAACCTGTATAACTAGGTCCTCCAGTAGAGAGGTCTAAATAATAAGGGTACCGTTTTTTTCCCCCCCTGTAGTCTATTTTAGTAGGGGAACCGAATCTCCCAACCAAAAAAGAAACGGGTGAGACAGGGCACTACTGGGGGACCTGGATAGTATTCAAACGGTTCACGGGGAGAGGCGTGCATGGCTGGGATCGTTTCTTCAGTTTCATCAGCTTCCCAGCATCAGCTTGGTGCTTTGGAGCCAGGGCGGTGTCCTATTTTTAGGGGCCCAAGGCCTGAAGGCTTTGAGGCCTTTGGGGGATGAAGGGCCCTCATTTTTTTTGGTCCAAGGGCTCCTAGGGCATTGAATCTCTGCAAGGGGCTCAAAGCCCTGGTTCCAAAGAATCCAAACCACTCAAGGGTTACCGTCTCGATTACCGTCTCGACACGTCGATCGCACTCCATCCCAAAACGAACGGCAGAAACGCCTTGATCGAAGATAGAGCCTCGAGGCGGCTTGAGCTACATGCGGTTTGGGGGTGGGGTGGGCTCCAACAATGGGTGGAAGTTGGAAGAGCAATGACACGCAAAGCATGCAAGAAGCCAACACTGAGAAGAATCGATTGCATACACGGCATGTCGTGATATCGAATGCGCCCAACATGTAGCATTGCATAATTCAATAATCTACTGGGCACACATTTAAGGCTTGACTCAATGGCACAGCGCATGCTCCAGAGTCGACACTGCCCGTTTGCAAACACAGATAGGCCACGGTGAGTGATTGAGCGATGAGGGGCGGGGTTGTCCATCGGTTCCATTTGGGATGATTTCGCCGTTCCTCATCTCCAAATCAAGTACGGCCTTAATCAACCCTTCTTAGGGTCTTCGTTTTGGGGTAACTGTTTTGGGGAAAGCAGGGAGAGAAGAAGCTAGGTCCACGTTTTTGCTTTCGTCCGAAACCCCAGCCAAGCAGAGAAAGTGAAGCCCCAACGGGCCGTTCACCACACATGGGTGGCTCGTTTTCTTGTTCAGATTTGGACCCACAAAGTGGATTTTGGTGTTCCCTTTAAAACACCACCTGAGGGTGCCCTCAAAACAGGACACACCGACATGTTCACAAAGGGGGGCCCGCACCTTTTTCCCCAACAACGCTTGCTGCAGCACATGGCGTGTCAAAGCGAGACGCGGCCAGACCTCTTTTTGCTGCGGATAACAAGATAATAACAATTATCCAAAAAAAAAAAACAATCTCCCACCGACCAAAGTCAACCATACCTTGAAGAACTTTTGACCATACCTTTCCCGGACCCCGTATGCAAGGAATACTCACGGGAGGGTTGGGAACGCTCAAGAGCCCTTGAAACAAGAAACATATAAGAACCAAAAAGTACTAATCACAGCTAATCACCAGATTACAAGTTCTGTACATCTATGTCTTGTTTCTCATCTTCTTAAATTATGTATCTTGGCCGCCCACCAAACCGAGGTTTTCGCTTCGCCCCTTTCCAGCGGGTCGCGCACGCGCCCCCAAGATCGCTGAGCTTCCCTGCTCTTCGGCACCTGGAAGACGAAGGAGGGTCCAAGGAGAACCCTCGGGAACCCGTAACCTTTGGGTTTGTCTGCGAGCCTTGGGGGTGCCTTCCAGAAAGGCCTCCCAGCATAAACAGGTCTTCCCGCGTCTCTTAAGCAAAGGTTCGACACCAAAAAGGATTTTAAAGGAACCCCTTAAACAAAGAGGCCCCGCCCCACAAGTGAAGACTGCAACAACGTGAAGACCCCCGGAAAAAGACAAGAAGGAAAACACGAAAAAAGCAGCCACAACAACCCACAACAGACATGTGATCCTCTCCAAATGAAATCAACGAGCTTGGAGTTGTCAACTGGGTTGTGGCCCAGGCCTGAGCTCAGGCTTCTTAGAGCTCTTGGGGCTTTTGAGGCCTTCGGTCGAAGGGAAGCCTCCTTGGGCCGATTCCACGTATCGGGCAATGAATAAGGGATTTGGGCGTGCTTTTTTTTTTGGAGTTGGTGCTCGTCTCTTGGTGGATTTAAAGGGAACCAAAGGGAAAAGAAGACCGAAATCCACCAAGAGACGAGCCACCCATGTGGAGGGCGTTGCTGAACCGGAGCCACTGGTGAACACATTTCGCCAGTGCAAGAACAAGAACGCCGTCATTTGGACCTCTCACGACAACTAACCCTTTTGTGCCGCTCATCAAAAAGGGGACTGCGGAAGAGCGGCGAGGCCAGGTTCCAGCTTTAAACTTTGTAAGCCTCCTGCAACCAGCGGGAACCCGTACCTTCTTGGGCATACGTCAGAAATGCTTTGACAAGCATTTCCCTCTGTCATGCATGCATGCATCCCGTGACAAGGTGCTTACCACAGGCGTAACGCGCCTTCACGTTCGCGATCTTGGCATCTAATCCATACCTTAGTCCCACAAGCAGCTTCCAAGCACGCTCCTGAGCTTCTGCAAAACCCCAAAACCATCATGTGTACAAAGGAATCTCCTTTTGGGGGGAACCGGTGTTTGGGTTGCAAGCCAGGGAGTAGAACTGGGGATAGCAACAAAGCGGGGTCGCCAGGAGAACAAACCGGACGCTCGCTGAAACGACATGCCAAGCACACAGGTTCTGAGGTAACATGCCAAGATGGGCCGGCCTCGTTCTCGCGAACATGTGCCCGTTTACTACTCAGTAAGCGTCCAAGAAATCAACTGGAAACATGAAACAAACACATGAAACAAATGGTTCCCTGATCTACTCCCCACCTCCCCACCTCAAACCCCCCACTCGTCCTCCCACCTGCCTCCCCCTCTCCGGACCGGTCTCGTCTCCTCGTCTCCCGAGGCCCCCGGCTTCTCGAGCTCCCCCGGCACGGTGTAGCGGGCCGGGCCCGGCGAGGCCTCCCCCAACTTGTGCACCTCAGTGCCAAAAGCGGGCCCTGAAAGGAGGGCCCCAGATGGCCCCAGGCTTCCGTGTTGTTGAAAACCGCAGACCCAGGGGGGAGAAACAACAAACCACCGAAACACTCGTTTTACTGTAGTTGTTTATTTGCTTTTCATGTTGATTTGCTTTATTTCTTTCTTTCTCTTTTTTTGGGGGGGTTGTGAAACAACACACATAACCGGTGTTCTGTGTGGATCTGGAATCTCAAAGTGTTGCCCGTGGGGCGTGAGACCGTTCCATGGCTCCAGGACCCATGAAAAAATCGGCGAAGTCGGGGATGAACTTGTCACCAGCTTTGAGGGAGTTCCCAATTGAACATCATTGCCATTTTCCAGGACGAACTGCAACAACTTGAGCTTTAGAGTTTAGCATAGCTCACATGAACCATTGGGGAGGCGGCCTTCCGGTTCATTCAACCAACGCCCGGACTCGGAGTCATTCCCCACCTGTCGCACCAGCAAGCTAGGGGGCAGCAGATTCTTTAGGCCTCACGAGAATCAGACGCCTCAAAAAGTGGGTCTGGTCCTTCTACCTGGAGTCTTCATGACCCGGAAAAAATGGTTGGTCATTACCCAAAAGAAAGGGGTCATGGAGACTCCAGGTAGCACTTTTTTCTGGGGCTCATGCTTGTATAGCATACCTCCAAAGCCCATGTTGGGGGGGCTTTGTTGGGGAGATGGGCTTCTCTCTTTTATGCCTGTCCCCCACAAAAAGGGATGCCCTTAAAAGAATTCTTGGGCCTGATTGCGAACCTGCTTGGTTTGAGATAAACCCATATTTTTTGTCTGTCGTGTTTTTTTGTGATACTGTCTTTTGGTTGGTTTCAATGGAAGCCAACAGGAAGCCAAGCATTTGGGGGGACCCCCGCGGAAAAGACGCACCCATCTCCGTGTTTCAAAGTAGTGTGAAGCCAACCTCCCAGCCAGGTCCAAGACCAGCGCCTTCGTCCGCGACTTAATGGCGATGTCGTACAGCGTGCCCCGCCTTGGCTGAAGCGTTTGGCGTTGGAAGCTGTGGCAAAACAAAGGGGTTAACACCACGTTTGGTGGGAAACCAAATGGGGGGGGGGGCTTTTCTTTCTGGATTTGGACCCCCCAAAATGGTTTTGCTTTGGATTTGCAAAGGGCGCTCTTTATCCATGGTCACATGGTCATCGTCCTGGCTGCAACGGTAGACATTGGGACAGGAGACACCTTAGGCTCACCCGCCCAACAAGGACCTGGACAAAAAAAGCCCGTTGGAACCTGGAGTAAACTAGCATTTGACTAAAGAGCTGACGGCTACTACGACAAACCAACCGATGAGAAGGTCGATTTGCTTCGGGGCTCGTAAACGGTAAATTGCACCGCTTGTAAGCAAACGACTCATGGGTGTCATTTTTTTCTGAGGGTCCCCTACCAAAAGGAAACCAAAAGGAACCAAAAGGAACCAAAAGGAACCAAAAGGAACCAAAAGGAACCAAAAGGAACCAAAAGGAACCAAAAGGAACCGAAATTCCTTTTTCGAATTTAAGAAACCAAAAGGAACAGTGCCTTTGATTGGGGTCCCCTACCAACACAAAATCACAGCTGTTTTACGATCCGGGCCGCGCAGCTGAAACACGGCGCTCTAAGCAAGCGACAGGAACGCCTACTTGATAGGGAAATGCCCGGGCAATCACAAGCGTTCCCTAAAAAAACTTCTCAAAGATCAATTTTTACAAGGAGATCCCCCCAATTTGGTAGATCATCTTCCCTCCAATTGGCGTTTTCGATCGGTGGTTTGGAGTGCTTCTGTAGTGGCGGTTTCCCATTTACCTACAAGAACAAGGAGTTCAAATTCAAATCCAAATCCAAACCAATCCAAACCACCCATTGGGGGATAGCCTGTGTATGATATTCACCATGGCCAGTCACTGATGTATGCCTTCGGCCAATTTCCCCGGACACTTCCTTCCCAAAGCTGTGGATATTGAAAAGAAAACGAGGGCAGGCTGCTGAAACTCAGTTGCCCAAAGGACCCAGAACTAAAAGGTGATCACCTTTTGGCACCTCTACCAAAAATAGGGAACCCAAAATGGGAAAACCGAAAGGTCAGATCCGGGCGATTCGCTTTGGAGAACTGAGGAAAGGGAAACCTACAGCAACCAAAAGGAACCAGAGGAAAACCCACTGGAGACCTAGGCGCGGCTACAGCTTGAAGGGCGTGAGTGGTGGATGGTTGCGAAATCCATTTCGCACCCACGAAATGAAACCTTGCTGGTATTTACAGGGGGAAGGGGACTTTCAATCCGCCAAAAACGGGGTACCTTTACAAAAAAAAACCACCCGCTGATGTGCCAAGGTCAAGACTTCTTGTGGGAATTGATCGCTATGCAGCCGCAGTTGAAATGGTGTTGACCTGTCAAACTTCCGATCTTTGAGGTCTCAGGGCATATGTGGGCCATGGTCCGCCAAGGGGTGTCTGGACCATGGCGCATTCGGCAGGGACATGGCATGAGGTCTTGAGCCGAAGAAGGACATACATACGCATTTATATATATATGACATAAACAATATGTCCTGTATGTGTAGGTGTGAGTATACATATTTTTTATATGTATCAGTACACTTACGGTGGCAAGGAAGGACCAATTACCCACCACCAGGGAATAGGACCATCTGTACGTGCATACATTATGTACTATACATCTATATATGTCTATACACATATTGGCATCCCAGATGTACATCACATACATCTATATATATATATGTATACATAGGTGTCATTTTAGGGGAATGGTAGATGATTCAACCACCAGGTTTATAAACCAGGACTCGCCGTCCATTTTTCTACCAACACAACCACACAGGACACCTATGTACATTTTTGGTATCTATCGCAAGCTGCCAGACTCCACAGCGCCCCTTGGTCCGAGCTGCAGAACGGGAGAGTTCTTCCCCGGCTGCGTGATGCAGTTGTAGGCGTCAGGGCCCGGCTTGCCAAAGCCCCTTGGGTGGGGAGAACCCATGCAACCAACATGCCAGCAAGTGACTTTCTGAGTGGAGCCGAAAAATAAAACGTCCCAAGCCTTCGGCTTTTACCACTACTAGGTTTTCCAGTAGAGAGGTTAAAGTAAGGGCACCAACTTTCTTCTGTAGTCGTTTTTAGTAGGGGAACCCTCCCCACAAAAAAGGGCGAGAAAAGGGCACTGAGGGACCTAGACTAAAATGGTCTAAACCCAAAAAGCTTGCAGTGGAACTCTGGGAGTGAAGCAATTCATTTTGATTGAACCTTGACCAGGCTTAGGCCCCTGCACACACTTCAGCTTTTTGCTGATTGAAAGGACATATGGAGGAAACCCAGAAAGGCAAACACTTAAAAAGGTCAGCCAAGTCTGGCAGTTTTATCAATCTCCTTCTCTTGATCGCTCTTTGGTGTGCCCTGTTAGCTTCTTTCTGGAAAACTGGTACTCCCCCACTTCAGTGGAAACCACTGCGTTTGGGGGCTAAAGGCCCAAAGGCCGACCCGCATATTTCAACAGTGGGATTGGGCGAGCAGTCCGCTTCGCCTACCTGCATCCGGCTCAAGGATTGCCTACCCGAGGGGATATGGGAAAGGTCTCCAGGGGACACTGCCTTGCCCCTTACTTGAAAGTGGGATGTGTCCCCACATGATCTATCACCACAAGGCGAACCAGCGCCTGGCTCACTTTAACGGCCTGGATCCCCTTTGGTCTGCCTGCATTGTGCCTTCTTGCGGGCGCCTTCTCCTTTTCGGTTTTTGACATGCAACTCTCTGAAACGGTTTTCACACTTGTTGGCCCCCTGCAAAGCAGTCTTCCCAGGGTCTCGAGAAGAAACAGTTTAGCCTGTTTCTATCCTTTGAGGACTCCCTTACACATTCTTCAAAGAAAGGCACAAACACGGGGTAAGAGCCAGCGTCAGGCGCTTCGCCGGGGGACTGCCATTCCCTTTGGTTTCCCTTCACTAAATTGAGAATTCCGGGCCCGGTGAAAAAGGGTCACAGTCCGAGAGCTTGGAATCGGAGCACGTGGGAACCCCCACAAAAAAACACCGGGCTGGGTGTTCCTGTTAGCTTCCACCAAAAACCCCAGCCGGGTTCCCCAAAAGCGACTGAGGGCCCGGGCTCCTTGTCCTGCACTCCAATGGTGCGTGGCCCCAAGGACCAGCGCGGATTCCTGCGGAAAGGCCAGGGATCCCTTCTACCGCCACCTAAACCACCCAACAGTGGCTTCAACAAAACTTGGCTGGAATTAAGACCCCAGCAAAAAAACATATGTTTTGCCTGGCTAGTGGAAAACAAAGGGAACCCACAAAAAAGCAAAAAAGCAAAAAGGGGAGCCGATTCTGGGGAAGAAAAAGGCCACACTCTCCAATACAACGGTAGCCCCCGACCAGGAATAACATGTTTGATTCGACCTTCAACTGCGAAATGAGCCTCTCTCCCACCTTACACCGAACAACTTTCCAAGCGCCTCGACGGGTAGCTCCAGGAAGACTGGCCTGGCGGACTTTCTGAAGCGACGAACAGGCCGCGAGACGGTGGAGGACGGTGGAGGACCCCAAATATGGCAAGTTCGGGAACGTACGGGAACCAGAAAACCCTCGAGTTTAAGGACACCCTCTAATGCAATGTTTTCAATGAGTTATCCTCCCACCGACTACAGTAACTTGGAAGTGCACAGACCCCTGCAGCAAACCTACTTACGATTTGGGCGTCCTTTTTGATTTTTTTAAATATCATTGCAAAAGTCCAGCCTTTTTCAACACGCCCATTCAGTCGGCTTCTGCCCCTCCGCTAGTTTTGGTCAAACGGCGAACACTGTTCAGCGGTCTTCAGCGGGCGTGCGCCGAGCAACCGGGCTTCCTCAACATCCCAGAACAACCTACGTCCAAGGGGATCCGTTCGAGCCGGCAAAGGGTCAAGGTCTAAATTGACCCCCACTGCATCTCAAAAGACCTGAGAAGCGGGCCTGGCGGGATGCTGGTGTTGTACTTGGCAGGCCCGGGGCCGCCATGGACACTGGAGGCCTTCTTCTTCTCCTGCGTCCACGTCCCTTTGGCTTCTCTCTGCCCTCCTTTCAAGACAAACCCAGGTACCAGCTGCACGAACACACCGGCGGCCCCTTTTCTGGGGTCTGTTCACAGAGTAAGACCGGGACTTAAGTGAAGCCAACGAGAAACCGAAGCCATGAAGCCCCTCTATTTGGAGGCAAGCCCAGGTAAGAGAACACCAATTGGCAGAAGGGCAGCCTTGTCGCGGTTGCCATTCTTAGTGGGGAAAAATATGGCTGCCGCTGAAGAATGATTCGCATCCTGCACGCTGAATGAAAGGAATCGGATCTTTTAGGGGGGCTACTACTCAGGAGTTGGCATCAAAGAGGAATTCCTGATCAGGGCTGGGCGATGAAAAACCCTCGTTTCAAAATACTCGCAACGCTTTGAAACCACATGCCTTCTTGCTTCACCTGAAGGAATATAAAGGAATCCGGCTCTTCAGACATCTCTTGCCCCACCTTTGACCCCCAACCTTACGAACATCAACGGACGGTTGATTTTAAGGAACACCAACCATACTGTGAACGACATCCTCCACCACTTGGAAATTATGGGAAGCCATTGCTTGGTGGCAAAGGAATCATTCCAGAAATTATTGGGTGGTGCAGTGGTGCGAAATGGATTTCGCAACCATCCACAGCATCATAGAACCGACTTTATTTGGACACGAAATCAAACCAAATAATCCGCGAAACATGGAACTCCCAAAACATAGAACCAAACACACCAAATCCCTCAAAAACAGTCCACACCAAACCAACCATGGCCTATATGCAGGCGGTGTGGCCATAGGCTCTGGCCACTTCCAGGGCCTGAAACAACCTCCGAATCCTTAAGGACTACTGCTCGAGAGTGTGCCGAGGGTGATCTAAGCCATAGATTGCTTGACACGTGTCAATTTGCTCATAAAACTGAAACGCACTATAGACATGTATATATATATATATATATATGTTATGCCTGGGACAACCGAATATGCCTTTCTCGAACCAAAACGATATCTTTGATTCCGGACTCCACATTTTCTGAACCCAAACATAAAAAATACAGATTACCTGAGATTGTTTTTGATTCTGGCCCATATATAGAAACACAAAACACTACATCAAACATCTCATTCAAGGTCAGTCGAGGTTGATTCCCTTTAGACAAGTGAGGCTTGGAGTCGCGAGTCGGCCGAAGCAAAGCTCTGCCTCAAAGCTGTCGAAGCGTGGCTTCATCTTGATGCCAGGGCGGATGTAGTTCCGCTTCACCTGGCTTCTTCAAACCAGGTGGAACGGAACAATCTATCGAACAAGACTTGGGCTTTTTGCAAGGTCCTGCAACGGACAGAGTGCAATTACAACCGCCAGGGCCAAAATTGGGTCATTCAAAGCAGGAACATGTGCTAATTCGCAATCTGCGAGACAAGACTACAAGGGAAGCCATTGTCATCTGGCACAAGCATTACATGTGGGTGCCTTTTTAGAGGAGACCCTGCAAGTTTTGTGGTTTTCCTTTGACGTTCCTCTAAAACCATTAGTAAAAAGGGGGGACAAAAAGACACACCCATGTGTGGAGCATGGTCAGGGTCAGAGGACGAAGGGCTCACCGGCAAGGAAGCCAAGAGAACTTTCAAGCCCAGGCTGCACCAATCACAGCGATCATGTCTTCTTTAACTTGTACAGCTGCCCCCAAAGGGGCCTCACAAATATGATGTATACAAGAAACACCGAAACACCTGGATGGCGTATTCTTCAACCACTCCCTCATTTGATTTGATCTGTGTCTGAACATTGGAATCAAGCGTCAGTTGAGTGCTTGCACGTGACTACAGCCAAGTCGAACGGATGTTGAGGATTCTAGACTAGGTCCTCCAGTAGAGAGGTTAGACTAAGGGTACCCTTTTTTTCCTGTAGTCCATTTTAGTAGGGGAACCCGGTTGAGGTGTTTTTTTTTTTACTAGCCCCGGCTTTTTACTAGCCCCGGCTCGGCACAAGCTGGGGGTTGGTGGCCGCATCGCCAGCATGCCCAGCATTTCCGGTTTCTTGTCACGGCTGCGTATGGGGCATGACTTGATGCTCGGGATAGTGCATCGCCAGCATTACTGGCCTCACTCGGGCGCGAGCTGCCTATTGGCTTTGGTTTGGTGGCAGTTCAGGGTTGATCGGGGCTGGTTTGGGGTGAGTGTTGGGCTTGCTGAGATATTAATGCGAGCGGGTCTTGGGTTTGTTTAGGGTTCATTTAGCCTCGGCAAAGGGCCGATATGCAGGATGCGGTTGGGAGGGTTTCAGGTTGACTTTGGGTCGGTTTTGGCTTGGTTGGGGCTGATTCGTGCTAGATGTGCGGCTGGTTTAGCCGTGGCTTTCGGGTTGCTTCAGGGATGTGGTTCTGCAAGTTTTGGGCTAGGATTGGTGGTTTGGGGCAACGCCCCACAACCAATCCCAAACCAGCACAAAACTTGCAGAACCACATCCCTGAAGCAACCCGAAAGCCACGGCTAAACCAGCCGCACATCTAGCACGAATCAGCCCCAACCAAGCCAAAACCGACCCAAAGTCAACCTGAAACCCTCCCAACCGCATCCTGCATATCGGCCCTTTGCCGAGGCTAAATGAACCCTAAACAAACCCAAGACCCGCCCGCATTAATATCTCAGCAAGCCCAACACTCACCCCAAACCAGCCCCGATCAACCCTGAACTGCCACCAAACCAAAGCCAATAGGCAGCTCTCGTCCGAGTGAGGCCAGTAATGCTGGCGATGCACTATCCCGAGCATCAAGTCATGCCCCATACGCAGCCGTGACAAGAAACCGGAAATGCTGGGCATGCTGGGGATGCGGCCGCCCAGCTGACCAACCAACCAACCAACCAACCAACCAACCAACCAACCAACCAACCAACCAGTCTCCGAGCCGGGGTTAAGCCCCGAGCCGGGGCTAGTAAAAAAAAAACACCGGTTCCGGGGAACCCTCCCAACCAAAAAAGGTTGGTGAGAAAGGGCACCTAGCTGGACAGCTCCCTTCCGGCGGGTCGTGGCAACCAGCCCTCGGTTCAAAGCCTTGGACACTTGGGCGGAGTAGTCCCCGTAGGTGTTGGGCCCTACGTCGGCATCCGCCGGCCGGCCCTGGTCCGGACCTCACAAAAAAAAACGGCTGGGGAGGGGTGGGGAGCATCAGCTTCTTGTCCAAGAAGCCAGCAAAAAGCAAAGCTCTACTGGCCATCCATGTTGACGAGTTGGCCAATTTCCTGACATGTCGTGCTTTTGCCTGGGGCATCTGCTGCCTCGCAATGGCTTGAAATTCCAAGCTGGTGATTGATACCCCTACTTATGAAAGTATGGGGGGAAACGTGATGAGAATCCTGCCCCAAGACTAATACATAAAAGGTGATCCCCATCATGCTCACCCGGAGCATTAGAAGCAGGTTCTGCCACGGCCCAAACTGCCCACCCACTTGAGCCAAACTATTGGAAACAAAACATAGCTCCATGAAATCAAATCATTGAAACCATGGCTTTCAAAAACACAAACAACAAACAAACCCCGACAGCAGTGCTCTCTTTTAAAAGAGCGCTCGTGGTGGGCTTATGCGCGCCTACAAGCTCAGCATCTCAAGCGACTAAATGGGAGACCTCATGGCGTTTGATTGTGGCGTGTTGGCGCATGTGCAGGAACCAGAGAACTTTTTTCCCACAGGAGGAACACTGATACACATTGCGGTGTTTTTGCTCGTGCTTCAGCAGCGCTTGGCGGCTAACGAACCTCTGCACACAGAAAGCAGCTAATGGTCGCTCCCGTTCCTCTAGCACCAACTGGTCGCACAAAGGCCTCGGTAGCGATTTGTCCACAGAAAGTTAATCCGTCGACAAGTAACGGTCAGCAGCACCTGGCGCTATGCTACTTGCCGATTGTCTATGGCCAAGGCGTGACGATATGGTATAGCTTATTATACCATAATTAAAGGCATGCAATACAATCCAGAATGACATCCTATCATACATACCACAATTTAGACATAGTATAACATATCATAATACAACATTGTACGATATCATAATACAACATTGTACGATACGCGGTCATACACTGAAATATGTAAACATACATATATATATATATACATACACTGATGTAATATGATATAACAAAACATATATATATATATATATATAAATATACATACCATGATACTACATAAGGGAATGCCATATAACATAGTACACTAACATATGCATAACATATACATAACATATACATACCATAATACGACACATGTATATCCAGTCACCGAGAACTTAACTCAAGATCACCACTCACACATCATCCACTGCTTAAACCAACGACCCGAAGCCCTGTCAGCCGAGGGGCGGTCCCCGATGCCAAAGCTATTGGCTTGCCCCAGCTCCCACTTCTTCCGCCAGAAGGGGCCTCGGGTTTTTCCGCCGGAAAGGACGGACGTCGGGGGTCGAATTGACCGCGTGCCTTCGGTTAAGCAATTTTTTGGAAGGCGCCCGGGAAAAATAGCAGATGAACCATGACATGGAACCAAGAACCAACCAGTTACCAATCTAGTCAGCTTCCCTCTAATTTGAGGTTTGGATTGGTGGCTCTTGCTCTCTGCCGTTGCGTCCAAAAAGTCTTGACTCAGCAAGGCAGCGAAAAGTGCGCCCACAAATATTCATGGTTGGTGGTTGGGAGGTTGAATTGAATGGGTTGTTTTCCATTGATCCTCAAGACTCACTCCAAATCACCAACTAAAAGTTACCTGCAATAATGGCCCCCTGGTAGTTGCCAGCACATTGACAGCAACAAAAACAGAGGTATGACTGGTATGTCCCATTTGAATGGCTTTTCTGTGGAGGGTAAATAGAAAGAACCCCCCCCAAAAAAAACACCTCCAAACCACCCAGCATCCAATGAAGGCATGTAGGGATACGTGTCCAAATCCAAACCCAATCCAAATCACAAGCAAGACGTTTCCTGATATATATATATATATATATAGCTGTGGTCAAAACCCATGAGATCCCATTTTTGGGGTAGGTGCACCACCCATTTTAGCACCTATGTTAGTGGTTGGATTGGGAGGTTCACTGGGGGTACGGGATTTTGGGATTCTGACCCATGGCCATATTCTGCCATTTGCTTTTTTGCTCCCTGAAAAAAAAAAACCAGTAGTGATAGATCCCCTTTAAAACCAAAAGGGGACGATAAAAACAGAAATATTTGATAGAGAAAAATATATACCATAGCTTGAAAACCAAAGGAACATCAATATGGTTCCCCTTTTTAAGATTCAAGTACTGATAGATCCCTTTAAAACCAACAAAGGAAAATATGCTTCCCCTTTTTTAGATTTCAGTAGTGATAGATCCCTTTAAAACCAACGAGGGAAAAATCAATGTTCTTAAGCAAACGGATGTTACTTGACTCTGCATGTTCAAAGCTTGCCACACCTGGAAGTATTTCAGCAACTGGAAGTATTTCTTTCGCCGAGCGGCTGCTGGCCAAGCACCGGTCGTACTTCGGGCTGCACCGAAGCTGCATCACCATGGAGGGGTCGTGCATCTGAGTCAGGACACACAACCCCCTCCCCCCGAAAAAAGAAAACAACACATAAATAATGTAAACACACACACACACACACACACCGCAAGAACTCAAACAGCAGCATCGGACAACGAAACTGGAATGAATGTTTCGAACAGAACAAGAACTGAAACAACACACGGAATTAAGAACTCAACCAAGACAAGAATCCGCTCCTATGCACATATGCTTTCAAGACAACAGCTTAACATAATTCTGCCAAACTTGCTATGTGCTGTACCAAAATCTGGATCTTTTAGCCGTGGCTGCCCTCTTCAAAGGTAGCGAATGGGTCTCACTCTGTTTGAGCCGCATAGTCCTTGTGGGGGTTGCAGGGGTCACGTTGTCCTGACATGAAATATGGGCGCGTCACGAACCTCCTATCTAATTTGGCAATGCTAATCTCCAATCTGAAGGTGCAGAACTGTCTGTGACTGGGTGCTAAATGGGGCGAGGGTCCGAGAAGCATAAAAGGCTACATCTTCTGTGGGGTTCCTACTGGGAACATTAAGCAATACTAATCCCGGCCCTCGCCTGAGCAACTACACAGAAAAGAATTGTTTCTGATTCTGCTTCATATTATGTCTACCCCAAAGCTAAAACTCTCTTGGAGTACCCTTCCTCCCGCTAACAAGGCACCTGTGGGACTTACCTGGAAGATCAGCTTCCTCTTGGAGGGATCCTCCGTCAAATGCCGTGTTGGTGGGAGAATTCCATACTCTAAGTCCTCCAGATTTGAGAGGTTAGAATAAGGGTACCAACTTTTTTCTGTAGTCTATTTTAGTAGGGGGTTTCCCCTCCCCCCAAAAAGGGTGAGAAAGGGCACCTAGCTGGGGGACCTAGTTACTAGTAGTGTTTCGCGTTTCGCCGAGCCCAGCGGGAAGGAACCAGCACTAAGCCGCCCCGCGTAGCCACCAGGGCCAGCGCTATGCCCGAAACCAAAGCCTGCCGCTTCAGTCACTCACAGCACCCAAGGGCCTGGACATAGCCCCTACTCCAAATACCCACTTTTTCTAGGGTATTTTTGGAAAACCTGGGTTTCCATGGTAAATACCTCCTCTTTTAGTAGAGGGTCGACATGATACCCTGAAAAAAGAGGGTATTGGGTGTAGGGGGTACTCTGGATGGACGATTTTTTTTGCACCACTTTGAAAGCATGGGAAAGCGTTGTTTGCTGGAGCCATTATTGCAGGGTTTCCTTGGTGGTGCAGGAATTTGTCCATCCACAGTATGGCAGCTTAAAAACATGCACTGCATGTCAGTTCTGGGTTTAGTGGGCTAGATGGAAACCCCCCACTAAACACTAAAAAGCTAAGGGGATGGCTGGGAGCCACCAAGAATTGTGAGTCCTCCATATATTCCATGAGTCCGGAAATCAAAGGAACCTCGACGAAAAATGGACCCTTTGACAGCCAGCGGCTTTGTGCCTGATTTTTCCCCAACAGCTGAAAGCTTTGGGGTCTCAGCCCAGATAGGCTCCGGGGTGGTCTGGGGCGGCCCTGAGGCAAGGTTCTACGAGGGTTCCACCAGAGTTCCACCAGGGTTCCACCAGGTTTCCGCTAGGGTTCCACGAGGTTCTGCGAGGGCTGCGGGGTGCGAGTACTAAAAAGAGCACCGCATGCTGTTGGGGATATCACCTAAGCTTATTTCTCCTTGCGCCTTTCCTCTTAGGAAAGCTCTATGGGCTGGAATGGATCCTGGCAAAGGAAACCCAGCACCAAACACTTGACACATCATGCTTGCATGTTGACGCTTGCTCGAGGGAACCCACAACTAAGCACACGGCGCACAATGCATGCGCTGTTTGAATAATATTCAAGGGAACTCTGCCCAGATCTGCCCAGCGAGGCGGATGTGTAGAAGCCACAGGATCCCTGACTTACTATAAAGCGAGGAAGTAGACCTGCTTTTAGCTACTGATGGCTTTGTGCTGCCACCCGCTTTCCAACACTCATGTGGACAAGGGCCATAAAAGGATAGTCTTCCGAAGCCTTCCTGACCACTTCAATGAGAAAAGCTAAATTCATGTGTCTCAAAGTAGGGAACGATAGGCCAAACAAAACCGCCCACTTGGAATTGGTCCCAAAATCTCAAACCACATCCTGATGAACACACACCCCTGTTTTGTCAACGCGACAAAAAGGTCCCGAGCCCAGGACACGTGAAACATCAGGTTTTGCCACACCTCTCTGACCCGTTCAGGAGCCCAGTTTGGAGGTTGGGGGGGTGGCTCCCCCTTTCCCAGCAGACAACTGGGACTTCAGAATTCAAGTCCTCCAACCAGCAATGCAATGCAGCAACTAGGGGTCACCTGAGATGAAGGTACCCAGCAAAACAGCATGAAGTAAGAGACTGGGTTGAAGAGCTTCGGTAGCCCAGCTACTCTATTGGCCCCTCCCGCAGGTTGCTTGTTTTGGGTCTCACCCGAGAGCCGTCGGTTTTCCCCCAGCTGCGCCCGCAAAACCGCGAAACCGAGAGCCGTCGCCTTTTCGCCAGCCCTGGAAGGGAGGTCCACCGTGAGGCGTGCTAAGGTCCGGAGAGCTCAGGAACATCTGCATGTTCACCATGATTTGCCTCAAAACTGGGACCCCCCCAGGCCATATTCAGGGCTTATTTGGGCTCCCTGCCCCTCCCCTCCCTCCCCCCCCCAGCCCCCATGACAAAAGAGTCCTGCGTAACTTTTAGCATATCTCCAGAAAAAAACCTCATGGTGAAGATCCGTTACTGTAATTTCCAATTCTTGTTTCAGGGTTTGGACATACTGTGGACGAAATCCACTTCGAAGCACCTAAGAAACTCTGGTTTCTGATGATTGCCCTGCAAATACTCACAAACGTTGTGGTTTCCCATGGTTTCAAATTGGTGCAAGAATTTGTCCAGCCACAGTATGTCCAGAGGTTTTGCCTCCCGAAAAGCGCGGGACCCAAAAAACCTCCATTCGCGTTTTTCCGACCCCTGGACAAAATGAGAGCATATGTCCAGTAGTGATAGATTCCAACTTCAAAACCAACAGGGGAAATTCAAACATATTCTGAAGCAAACCTCCGCAGATCGCTCAAGCATGTCTGTATCACAAGACCAGCGGTTGCCCATATTTGTTCTCAAAGATGCTCATGAAACATGCACCCAAGCGCAAATCATGGTAAATCACCTGGCAGCATTGCAATATGAGAAGGAGCCCAGGATTCATATTCACTTTCGGACAACCCTGTCTAATATTGCAGGTTGATTGATCTGGGGTCGATCTTGAAGCAACCCCGGACTTCACCAAATTTACTGAACCCTCGAAGCCTGCACACTTCATGTCTGAAAGGGGGGGAACATCGGTGACGCTGACCCTCAAATCCTGTTGGGGGAAAAAACGCGGCCGACTCACACAAATAGTTGTTGACACAGTGAGACAAATAGGTGACCTCTAGGTACCCTTGGTGAACTGTTTGAAACATAAGCAGCTCTTCCGGAACAGTGCCTGAGTCTTTCTAAGCCTTTTCAATTACACCTTGTGACTTACTTGTTCGTTTAAGACAAGAAGCTCAAGCAACTCTTGCTCAGTTGCCCAAAGGATCCAGCAAAAACAGGTGATCACCTTTTGGGTTCAAAACTAAACAAATGGACCAACACTGCGAAAAGCATATCTGGGAAAAGCATATCCTCGCTTCCTGTGTTGATTGGCCAAAAAAAGTCCAAACTTTTTGTTTACCACCAAAATGGTCTTCCCAAAAAGTATATAAAGTCCATGAACTCAGGGAGTGAGTATCTGGTCAGATCCAGCCGATTCGCTTTGCTTGCAAGTGGGCTTGGGGACCCACCCCCTTTGACTTCATGCTGCCAAGCATCGACCCCCGGGCCGAAGGCCGGCGCGGCGCTCCGCGCGCCCCCGCGCCCCGCGCGCGGCTAACTCTCGGGCATGAAATGTTCAGCTCGCGGGCAAACGGCTCAGCCCGAGCTTGCAATCGGTTCGATAGGCAGGGAATGCATGACCCACAAGAAAACCATCGCCTATGGTTCAAGGTAAAGCGTGACTATTGAATTGGGGATTCTCTACTAGACATCCCAGTGGGGATTTATGTCCACCACTCATTTGGGAGGCCATTCAATTGAAATGCGTAGACCTCTGGGTTTGGTTTTTTGAGGGTACAAATATCCTATACCCCTTTCAGCTAGAGAGATCAAAGTGATCCAGTTACCAGGGCCGTTGGTATCGCAATTAGGGGTATGGGTCTTGGACGTGAAGCCACACTGAGATCCAAAATACGCATATATGGTATTCCTGGATGTTTAAACCTCCGTAGGTACCTGTAAACTCATACCGGAAATCGGGCCAATGCCTGGGACCAGGCTTGCCGGGCTCCCCAGTTAGCTTGCCAAAGGGGCCTTGGAAAGCCCAAATTGGACTCTGCTGGCTTGGATCAAAACATCCGGGGTTGGCACTCCGCGCAAAATGCCCTAGTCGTCCAGCTCTGCGAAACAGCGGCAGATTGGGCAGCCCACGTCCTCCCATCTGGCCGTCAGGACGCCTGGCGCGAAATGCATCGACAAACCCAGACGCGCGAAACGATATGAAAGACCCATCATTGGCACTAAGTGCGAGTCGGGAGCCATGGCCATCGTTTAGCGGATGTCGCTTTTTGCACCTGGTTCATGCGCAAACTCGGGAAGCCGGTGCGCCATCGGCATCCTTTGTTTGTCTGAGCAACCGCAGGAACAGGCGCACGTTTGCAGGCACGAGGTGAGGGAACCATTAATAGAAACGGAATTCAATTCCAGCCATTGACATTGCCCTTCAACACCAAGATGGGAAACGATAAATCAAGAAGCAACACACCCCCAAGTAAAGGCTCCCCAATGAAAGCAACGGAACGCCGGGTCGCTGAAACTCGCCTGTAAGAGCGTCCGCATGAACATTCCCATGGGCGTCCTGTACGGCATGCCTACAACAAAACTGTTTCCCGGAAACCGGAAGATCGCTTTGGGCAAATGAGGTGTTTCAAAGCCTTTCCACTTGAACTATGGCCACCCAAAGCGCAGTCGGACACCTAAATAACCTATGAATGGCAAAGGGCGCGAACACCAACATCCAAAGATGCCCCAAAAGGATCTCGAAGCTCCACAGCATCCAAAGGATCGGAAACGGGCTTGGGCAATACTTTTTCAAGCAGCCATGTCCCGGCCTTAGGGGAAAAGAAGGATCTCGCCAATTCACCAAACCAAGGCTTCGCAAGCTTTCCAGTAGAACATGGACATAGTGTGCCAACCATGTTTGAGTTTTATGTAAATATCGAATTGGTGGTTTGAAGCCAGGTGGTGGTTAGGGGGTGGTTTCCTATTTACCCTCAAGAACCCGGGGTTCAAATCCCAAACACTCCAAACCGCTTCAAGGCTTACTCGAATGTTGAAACTGGACTGCCTTCAGATCCCCTCTAAAAAGATGAACTTTTAGTGACCCTCCACGAAACCAACTGGGTCCTCCAGTAGAGAGGATAGAATAAGGGTATACCCATTTTCTGTTTTAGTAGGGGAACCCTCCCACCCCAAAAAAGGGATTCAAGGGCACGTAGCTGGGGGGCCTAGCCAACGAAAAACCGAAGTTGACCCGGAGGATTCGCTGGGGACCGCCATCTTGAAACCAGCTGGCAAGTTGCTTGCCCTCCAGCCGCCTTGAGCCCCCAAATGCCCCCAGGACGCAGCTCCATTGCCCAGACATAGGCCAAGGTGGTCACCAAGATCTGGCAATAACATCGTCTCCCCCTACGGGCGGGGGGGGGGGGGGTGGAGGGGGTCCAAAAATTGTAAGATTGCAATTCGAATGTCAATTAGTTAGGGGGAGGTGATGCAATAACAAGGTAAAAAGGCTGGTCGCTGCAAACAAGACAACAAACCAAACAATCCGACTCTCTCTCTGACGTCCTGAGTGGATTGGCCCAAAAAGGTCCAAACTTCTATTTTCTGCTAACATGGTCTTCCCCAAAAAGTATAAAGTTCCGGTATCTCGGGAAGTGAGATGCAGGCAACATATGCCAGCAAACACATTTGGAGTTGGTGAATGAGGTAAACATTTCGCATGTCAGATTGTTAGGGAACTCTCCTTGCGGCCTTTGTCCAGCGATTTGTTTGCCTGTTTGCTCTTGAGCCTGAGGCTCTGTCGGGATGCGACTGCCCCCCAGCTCGAGCCTTCTCCCGCGGAGCTAGAAGTTGGATTCCGCAACTCCATCTCTATGAGGGATCACCCCATCTACCCGCAGGGGAGAAGATTCCTGAAATCACCCCATCTTTCCGCAACCCCAATTTTTGGAGGAGGGTGTGGCTCAAAATTGAACAGGAGAGGTTGCGCAGGTTTTGGTCCATGTTTCCACTTACCAGGTTCCATTGTTTTTGGAGCCACAGCCAGGACGCGCACGCAACATAGCCCAATGTAGCCTCGACGCTTCTCTCCAGGCTCTAGGCTGCATGAGGCTCGTGTTTACTTAGAAGTGAATTAGCCCGTCAGCAAAAAAACAACAAACACATCCATGCGTGGGACCGTCCTCCAAAATTGTGGTTTTCCTTGTAGTTTCCCTCTAAAACCCTCCAAAAACAGGTACCCTCAAAAACAGGACAAACCCACAACACAGGTATTGGGCTTCCAAACAGGGTTTTATGGCAATTGGAAAAACAGATGGCTTCCTAAAGCCAGCCTAAACCAGTGGGACCCATCTATTTCTAGTCAAAAGGACACCTATGGGCATGGGAGTAATTCCCTTATCGGGTTTCCGTCAAAGAAAGGACTCGGGTTATATGCTTCGCGACTGATCTGGAAGGATGGGCGAAAACTGACTCGGCCCCAGTTTTGTGGGTCGACTTCTTTCTCAGACCAAAAACGAAAAGCTGTGAACCACAGACTCACTGACTGGTCATGTGGCAAGAAAAACAACATGCCCCTTTGTTGTAGGAATTATTTGGAAGGCAGTCTCTGACTGTCTATGGGCAACAAGCATGACTAGTCGCTTTGTGCAGATTGATCTGAAAGAGCACACCTTATAAGGGAAAAAGGGACTTGGTTCCCATTCTGTTGGCTGACAAAAGGACGCTGCTCGCCCACCAAAAAGCCGGAAAACGTGTGCCAGTGGCGGGCCATAGGCAAAAAAGGGCTTGTAAAACAGGACGTGCCCCTTTGTGTTGGATGATTTGAAAGCGACCCCCCAAGTGGAAAGCGTGTTCCGCTGACTGGCCATGCTCTCTTTTGCGCCGCGAGCACATCTCAGCCGGACATGTTCACGGCTCGGTTCACCAGATTCCACGGCACCTGAAAGTCGAGCATGTGGACTTTAACTTGGCTGGAATTAGGACCCCAGCAAAAATATTTTTTTTTGCCTGGTTAGTGGAAAACAAAGGGGACCCCAAAAAAAGCAAAACAATAAAAAGGGAACTAATTCTGGGGAAGTTAAGAACTTTCCGACATTGGATCCGTGGTATTCTGCAGTTTACCTTGGGCAGGGATTTGGAAGGAGCCTAGATTGATCAGTTGCCCCTGAGGGGCCCAAACCTATAAGGTGATAGCCCTTTGGGGCCATGACTAAACATGGACCAACATAGGAAAACCAAAAGGCGAAAAGGTTGGCTTCGGGCAAGTGAGTTTGTGGCCCACAACCCGGGCATGAGGGGTCGCGGGGGACGTTTGATCGGCGAGCCACGGGCTGCCTGACGCTCTCAGGGGCTCATGATACTTCATGCCCAAACATGGCGCCAGAAAGCCTACTAAAGGCTGTGAAGCCAATGTTTGGTCCACAAAGACAAATGGCTGTGGCTCAAATACATGTACCAAAATGGCACCTTGGCAAACGGAACCAAAGACGAAAACCTGCAGTCTGCCCCTGCTTAAAATGAGCCACACCCACATGTCAGGAAATGTTTGGTCCACGGCAAAAATATCAGGACCCCTTCCTGGGTGATTTGGTGGTCGCACCATTTTTGCGTTTGGCCGTGGAAGGGGCGTGGTGTGGAGGATAGGTCCCAAGTTGTCGACTCCCGCTGGGCTTCGCAGACTTCGGAGTTGGGTTTGTCTCACTGACCCCCCAAAAAGGGTTGCCTCAAACAAAAAGACACCATTTGAGGAACCCTAAAATCCCGGAAAAACGCCTAAAAAGGGAATTGCGTCCAAACAAAGAGACACCCATTTGAGGATTGGTCCACTGTGTCCGGCCGCTTTCCGGAACCACGAACTCCCCCGCTCCGACTGGATAACTGGATTGCCGACAACCAGGACTCCCTAGGTTTTCCTTGACATCACCCCAAGAGGGAACACGCACAAGCGATGGTTCAATTGCCTACATATCAACACTGGGTCTAGCAAAATCAAATCAATATTTTGCTCTGCATGGTGGTTTCAAGGGAAACCACCACCAGGAATCGGGCTGTGGCAGGTCATTGCAGAATAGGAAGGAATGAGCTGCTCGAGCCTTGCCTTGCTAAACACAACTGACAAAAGAACAAACAACACCTAGGGTGAGAATACTTTCAGAGGCATCCCACCATAGATATCCTCATAGTATGTCCCCCATATGCCCCAAACAGGTAGTGCGACACATGGATTGATGGTATGCTAGCAACATACTCTCTTGGCAATTCTCGTTCAACATGAACAGAACCAACAAGGCAAACACGCAACACCTCAGTTTCCCAAAGGGCCCAGAAAGAGAAGGTCATTTTTTTGGCGCCATTACTAAACATGTACTGACATGGGAATACCGAAAGGTCAAAAGGTTGGCTTTGGGCAAGTGAGAAACACGTACCAACAAAGAACACGTAGTTCTTACCTTAAAAAACCGAGCAGCGAAGGGCACGTAGGAGCCGCCCATCTTCTCTGCCTGCCACGCTTGCACTGGCGTGTTGGGATCCATTTGGGACTCAAAGCTACAGAGTAAATCCTCTCTGTAACTAGTCTAGGTTTTTTGAGCAGAGAGATTAGAATGAGGGTACCAACTTCTTTCTGTAGTCTATTTTATAGTAGGGGGTGTCCCAGTTAGACTAGACCTTGCCCATCTTTTTTCTATAAAAAAACCTAGGGTCCTCCCCACACTTTTAGCAACATTTTAAAACAGCACCTCAAAAAGCACATTTTCAAAAATCAACATTTTAAAGCAGGTAATTTCCTAGTAAGTTCATCCATATTTTAAAAAATAAATTTTACAAAATTTTAAAAAATAAATTTTCAAAAAAATAAATTTTCAAATAATATAATTTTTAAAAAATTAATTTTACAAAATAATAATATAATTTTAAAATATAATTTTAAAATATAACTTTTGAAATATAACTTTTAAAAAAGAAATTTTAAAAAAAATAAATATAAATTTTAAAAAAATAAATATAAATTTTAAAAAAAAATAATATAAATTTTAAAAAATAAATATTACAAAAAAATAAAAAAAAATAAATTTTCAAAAAAATATTATTCCAAAAATTATGATAAATTATTTTACAATAAATTTTATCACAAATTTTGTAGAAATATTATGGGCAAGGTCTGGTTCATTCGTTTTTTACGGGCACCATTCTTCCTTAATTCTTTCTATTATTTTATCACACGTTGTTTCATTATAAATATTACTTCCTATTTGTTTTCTAAACATTCCCATTATTCCAATTGCACGTGTTATTGTATATCTAAGTTCGTGAGTTTTATACTCATCATTTAAAAACTCATTTAAAAAATCAAACAATATAACATATTTTAAACGTTTAATATTAAAAGAAACGTTATATAATTTTTTCACCATACTATAATACTTAAAAATAAAATCATTATTATATCCTTCGTCATCACACTCAGTTAGTAAATTATCAAACCCTTCTATAGTTAAGAAATTATTCATTACAATAAACACAAATATTTCTAAATCGTCATCAAGAGTTTCATTATTTATAATATCAATATCTTTGTTATTCATATCATCAATTTTGTTTATAATTCTATTGCAATTGTTGCATATAATGTATTGACAAATATTATTACAAACGCCATTTGTAAAACCGCGTTCAATTGGTAATTTTAGCATTTCACAGTCTTTGCATTTATAGCTCATAAACCTTTTTTTCAATATATTTTTAGCATCGTGGACTGTATCACTCATCAAACTATATAATAGTATTATAAAATATTTCTTTAAATACTTTTTACAAGAATTTTAATTTAAAATTAAATTTCATTAATAAATTAAAATTAAATTAGGTTATGTAGATAAAATTTCATAATTTAAGTTCAGGATAATAATTTAATTGATGACTACTAAGTTGTATATATAACTTATGTCTTTCATGCATTATTTTTAAAATAATATTAATATCTCTCACTGTATTTTTAACATTAAACTTTTTACTTTCAATATATGTTTTAATGTCTTCTTTTACATCAAAACCTTCCCTGCTATAATAGGTCAACATCCATAATATACCTTCAATCATTTTATATTTTTTCTTACTGATTTTTAGAAATATTCTAACATAACTATAAGGTGGTCTTCCATACACGGTTAAAAATATTAAAATTTCATCTTCTACGTTTCTTTTATCTATTTTTTTAATCTCCAAAATATTTTCTATTATATTTTGATATCGTCGCCATCTTCTGCAAGTTCTACATACATCTTCTTCGTCCAATGCATAATCAATAATATTATTCACTATTCCATTATGTAAATTCAATTTATACAATTCCATATTTTCCTTTTTGAAGTGGCAACAATCATAGCATTTTTTATTGATATAACTATTGATTTTGGTTTTCATCATCTCGCTATATAATATATATAGGTAATATTTCTTTAAATACTTTTTACAAGAAATTTAATTTTAAATTAAAATTAAATTAAAATTATAATTATATTATCATAATTAAATTAAAAATTATCATCATTTACAACTACAATTGCATAATTTACAAAATGGGATGATATTTTCTATTGTATGAGTTAATTCATTATCTTTTCGTTGTGCTGTTAGATTTGTAATGATATTACCATTTTTCATATCAATAGTAAAACCACATCCGCAGTAATTACATTGATTATTTATATTATCTAGAAACCATTGAGTATTTACATAACCTTCTCTAGGTATGCTTCTTTTTGCTTTCCTGTCTTGTTCCTTATAATTCAAAATTTTCCTTTCAAAATAACTCATAATACATTTTTGATTAAATACATCATCAACATCCTTTGTATATTTATAAAATTTGACTTTGTTTAAATCACGAGCACGTGTTACCGCTGTAAAAATCCATTCTGGATAATTCTTTACCAAAAAATGATTATAATCAAAAATTGTTATGGTGTCATCAATGCTACTACCTTGAGTAGAATGACATGTAGAGCAAGAAGAAAATATAAAATTGCTTCTTATTTTAGCAATTTCTACGGATTGTAAAATTTCGGTTTTTACATTTTTTAATGTAAATATTCCATCACTTCCAATATGAACTATTTTATATTTGAAATTTACATTAAAAACTGATGTTTTAGTTTTAGTATATTCTCTACAAATTAAAAATTCTCCTACTTCATATTCATCTTTTCTATTTTCTAATTTTCTAATTTCATTTGATACATTTTTACAAGTTGTATTCAAAAATGCTATGTTGTTTTTGGAACTACTTATGTCTGTGGTGTATTCAAAATATTTTTCAATAATAGTTTTAATTGGTAATTTATTAATAAAAATATCATATTTTATATTCTTGAGTTTATCCTTATCTTCCTGTGTGTTAAGTCTCTTACATTCTTTCAATATTATATTATGTGTAAAAATATTATCTATAATATTGTCAGTGTATAATTCATAGTCTTGAGTATTTGTTATTTCTTGCACTGGTTTTAATTGCTTGGTGTCTCCTGTTGCTATTATAATTTTGTTGTGCTTATTTTGCTCTACAAATTGTTTTATTCTCCAGTATATATTTAAATTACTAAAATAGATTTCATCAAATACTATTACATCAAATTCTGTAAAATCAAATGGTTCTAATTTAGCATCTCCATAATTAATACCAAAGAATTTATTTATCGTCATTGCTTCTCCTTCAAATGCCTGTAATAGTTTATTAGTAGGACAAATAAAAATTACCTTATAATTTTTATCAACCATTTTTTGACATATATATGATTTTCCTGTGCCCGGTAGTTCACCTCTGATCATAATAGGATTATTCTGTTTAACAATCTCTATAATGTTATCAGTGTCGTATTCATCTTTAATATCAATAGTTTTACTTTCATAAGCTGGTATTTTTATTAATTCATTATTTACAACGTTAAATTTTACTGTAGGAAAATTAATTTCGTCTCTCTGCTTTGAAACTTTCCAACCTCCTATATCATCATGAAAATCTAATAATTGCTTTGTTTTTTCTTCATTGCATGTATCAATTACAAAAGCATCTGTTTTTACACTATATATATTAATATTATTAGTTATTAGTGTCTTAAAGTCTTGGTTCATTTTAAAATTGTGATGTTGTAAAAGTAATTCTTTAATATATCGATATCCGTTTCTTAATACTGCCTTATCCTTCAAATTCAATATATAATATGATGCCTTTACATCCCATTCATCCTCATCAAATCCATAATATGTTGTAGTTGCGCCTCCTTCGTCGTCATATTCGGTTATCATTTCGGGATATTCGCTTATAATATGCGATAACTTATTAATTTTACCTCCGTATTCTGTTTGATAATGGACTGCTTCATCAATACTTTTAAATAAAATACTTTGATGCGCTGTAGCGCCTCCTTTTTCTAATAATCCAAAATTTACATTTGCTATTAACTTTTTAATTAGTTTATCTAATGCTTCGTCATGTTCATCTATATTTGTTTGTAAAAGTTCATTAATAATATTTGTATATTCAACCTTATGAATAAATGAAGGTTGTTTATAATATAAAATATTGATTTTGTGTGTCTTATTCTCATTGATGAATTCCTTTAAAAACTTGCCATATATTAGATTATATTTTTTGTTGAAAAATAAGCTGTGATTACCACTTATTACAATGTTTTTAATTGCTTGTTTTAATTCATCAGGATTTAAAAACAAACTTAAATCATGTTTTTTACGAAATTCTATATAAGTAGTAATGTCAATACCTTTACTATATGCAATAGAATATATCATCTGCTTGATGTGTTGATTTTTCTCTATTAGTTCCTTAATGCTGTCCATTGTTGTTTTTAATGGTCTTACATTTGTATCTATAGTTTCAACATAATATAAAGTTAATTCATGGAGTTCATCTATTTTAATTTCATCGTTGTATTTTTTCCAATGGTCAAACTGGTTAAATACTGATATTTCCCTAATATTTAAAAAACCTTTAGTAAATGCTTTATTTACATCTATTTCTGTTTTATAAACTAAATTAATATTACTCGATAATAAACCCGAAGGTGCTATGCTTCTTGTTTCATTTAATATGTTAATATCAATGTCGTTATAAAAGGATTTATGCGATGACATGAATAAAGATTTATTGAAATTAAACATTGCTTTGTTCATATTGTTGTATGTAGTTTCATTGCTAACTGCAATCCATCCATCACCGGAAGATTTAATTAAATTTTGAGTTTTTATGATATATGTTATCTTGTTCAATCTTAATCTTATTTCATCAATAATACCTGTGTATTTAATTCTGGGTTCATATCCAATATTCAACAACTGGAATAATAATTCTGCCAAATTATTATTTTCAGACACTAAATATATTTCTTTTGTTTTATCATCAGTTTTAACTTTAAGTATATCATCTATACATTTAATCATTTTGTATTGTGGCGGTTCTTCTTTTTCATTTATATAATAATCAGTG